AGCTTCATGGCAACACATGTTGTTGCCAGGCAGCATGCATCTACTTCAATTGATCTTACCCAGTTACTTTATTTTATGACTCACTCTAACAAAGGTTAAGACCTTCAAGTTTTAGAAAGCTATAACAAATAATATAATCATCAGAGATTACTTTCTCATATAATGGTTTCATTAAAATCAGGTAACTAGATGAAGGGTCATCATGTAAGGAAGCTCACTGAAATTGAAATTCATATTTCAAGGCAACAGCACTGCTGCCTGACATACGTGCATGCTCTAATGTCTCCCTTTTGAGAGTGGAAAATACTTGCCTCTTTTTGACTTGCATAAATGACAGGAAACTGATATGAGGAAATCCTCTACCATCTTAGCATTTTTAATTAGGACCAGAGAACAAGGAAGAAAGGCAAATCAGTGTGCTCTTTTTAGGCCAGTCAACAAACATCCATTGTTGTGCTTCAACATGTATTTTCAATTGTAAAACCATGGCTTATGCACGGGTGGGAAAATGCTCTGTGGTTCAGCAGCAGTGTTCATATGCACACTCAGGTTACACCAGGGGAAATGTATGCCAGAGCCTCTGCTCAGAAACCGTCGCACTGTGTCTCAACCCCTTCGATTATCCTCATCTCCTTAATGCAGTTTTGCTCAGATTATCTGTGGGCACGGGTTATCTGAAGTATGCTATGCCTTCATTGAAGGGACGGTGAAGCCACATTAAGGGCCCAAGAGAGAAAACTGTTCCGTGTTTTATCATGTTAAGATGTTCCAAACTCTTCTCTCTTAAAGTTCGGCTTTTATCCCTCTAATGGAGACTGAGTTCTGCAAATTTCACCGCTTTGGTAGCCCTTGCTGTTGTCAGCAGAGATAATACAACCAGCTAGCAGGCTGAGCTCAGCCTCTTCAAGCTACTGCCTGCTATAGCCTTTTCATATAATATTTCTCTCTCTTTCCTTGGGCCTGCCCCAACAACCAGCCTGAAGACACCCTCCCTGTGGGGAGTACTGGGTGAGGACGCCTGGTCCCTGAGCCCCTGGGGGTGCCTCGGCAGAGGGTGCTGGGGGAGCTCTGCACTGGTGTTTGAAGCAGCTACAGCAGCTCACTGCTCACAGGCAAGGCTGAGACCATTCTGGGGTGAGAAGCAGAAGGCTCAAGTCTCGACAGAGCAGCTCTGTCGTTGGGTGAAGGCTCTAGCAAGGGCAGGTGCTGCCAGACAGATTTATAGATATGCAGAGAAGACGATGATACTGTTTAACCTCTTTGGGGAATCAGTCTAAAATCGTGAATGAGCATTGCTGTCATTCCAGAGCTAACAAGCCCCTTAAAGTTTTCTGACTCTCCAGAACACTTAGTTTAACAATTCTCAAAGCCCTCAAAAATAGAAAATAAAGAACTGACAAATACTGACATTTTATGTCTGAGTACCAAAAGCTGCCTGATAGGAATCAATAAATGTCCAATTTTGCCCTACTTGAGCAGTGGTGTACTGCAGCTATTTCTCTCAAAACTCAGTAAAAAGTGCATAGCACTCAGAGAAATGACAACTAAGCTGAAGGATTTAATTCTATCTCTTGATTAAGAAAAACTTTTTGAGGTGACTCACACTAAGCAGAAGTTCCTTCACTTGTTCTGCACTTAGAGCAGTGAATCTAATGCAACAAATATCCTCACTTGCAACTTTCACTGTCATTATTCCCATCAGAAGTCATCTGCCTTCGCTGATAGCAGTGCTACCAGGGAAATGTATGCTGCTTCTCCACCCTGCTGCTAGGTTGTGGTCAGCCACTAGTTACTCTTCCAGAAGTGCAGTACACGTTTTTTTTCCCCTAGACATATGAGATTGCTCTCAGCTGTTTAGGAATCACTTTCTTTGAATGGGTCCAATTTATCGTGGAATCCAGGCTGCACCATGCAATGTCTGTTGCCATCGTGATTTATCACTTCATCTGTGCTTTTGGAATCTGCAAATGCACTCACTTGGTGGTCTTATATTTGTTTCCAGATGATTCATAAAAATATTACCTACAGTCAGGTATGTATGTTTTTGATGTTACTTTATAAGATGTGTCATACAGTGTGGTGGTTTGAGCCTGGTCGGCAGCTAAACACCACGCAGTCGCTCACCCAAAAAGCCAGAAGCCAAAAAGCCAGACATACAGCATTTCTTATTTCCTGTGTATCTTATTCAAATTATACAATGTTAATTTACTTTAGTTTGAAGGCCATGGAAGACTAAGTTAAATACCCTACAGAATTGTATTACATCAGTACAAACCCACTTGTATTTGTAAATTCATCATAGTACAACTCAAGTTCAGCTTGTCAAGTCCTGTCCCCAAAAATGTGTTAGTGAGCATCAATATAATTTTACTGACTGAACTTTATCTTTTCTGTTTTATAACTGATGAGGTCAACCATGTCATTTGAATACAGCATTGGAGGACTTCCATTGTATGCTCAGAATTATTAACAATCATTAACAGCAAGATGGAAAACTCCTCAGCCAACTATTCTAGGATTATTGGCTGAAAGTTCTCTCAGCCTTACCTTTTAGAATATTTATTCCTAATTAATGTGGTTTAATACTTACATTGTCGTTACGGGTTGGCAAAACATCCAATGCCCTGATCAGATATAAATACAACCTTCTGCTCTGTAGCTAACTGTTGAAGACTTCTTCCTACCATTAGCACTCTCCTATCAATCTAGTACCAAGTCTTAGCTGCTGTTTTAGCTTGTGCTGTTTTACCTTCTTTTGTTTATACTTTAGACTTCCTTCTATTGTCCCTGGTTTTACTAGGCTTTCTTTTTCATGTTTATTCACATATTTGTGATTGCTATCTATTCCAACTATTGTCTTTCCTTCCTTTTCCAGAAAGGGGTTTTAATAAAATTGCTCCTTTTAATATTTAAAATAGTGTGGAACACTTACTATGTAATGAAGTCTTCTGATACACACCATGATTTTCATTAATATTGTTAAGTTTCCCCTCTAATACATTCTCAGATTTTCTTATTTCTTTGTTGTGTTTTGTTTTTTTTTTTTTTTTCCTAAGAAAGTAATCAGGCAGATGTAGACAATTTATCTGTATGTGTGCATCTGAGTAAATACATACACATCTGTAAATGCTTACTCAGCCATAAACACGTGCACAAGTAACAGATCTTGGTTGAGCCTGTACTCTGCCTGCCCTTATTTGATGTAATTGTCTGTGAGCACTGATCTTCACGCCACCACAAGCTTCCAGCCTTGTGACCATTCCAGCCCTTCTCATCACGGTCAGGTCTGTGTGTGCCACATACTCGGTACTGGAAAATTATTGTTGGTAATTCCTAAAATCTCTAATGTAGTTTTACTGCTGTCTTCATGAGACTTCCATTCTCTATACGTCAATGATGACAATGCCATTTTCATGTATTATTGCCAGGCACTTAAGGGCTTATTTTGGGGTTTTTGTGCTTTTTTAAAAAGTGTTTTACTTTTATCCTTCATGGTTTAATGTTTTCCATACATTATTCATACTTACATTAAGTCAGATTTTAAATGAGTGTGTGATTTACCAGAAAAAAACCACAGTTTTAGTCCCCGATTGATTTTTTTTTTTTTTTTTTAATAACGTTTGCACTTCATTATCTCACAGTGGCTAATGACATTTTATCACATTATATTATTAATTCAATGATATGCAAAGAAATTACATTTGGGTATAACTGAGATCTAAATCTTAACCAAGTGACACCAGATGTAATGCAGCAATAGACAAAATTAGAGTTTGGCCAGTGGCATGGTATTATTTTCCTCATGATTTATTTGATACTAAAGAAAACCAGCAACTGACAGAGGAAATGTAATGACTTGACTCTGCCTGACAAGATTTCACATATGCTGGAACATACTTTGTTGCCGTTTCTATAACAATGCATACTGCTGTCCTGATTTTTATGTTTTTTACCTAAGATGAGAGATAATTAGTCTTAGAGCTACTTTTATTATTCATCAGTGGGGTAGCATATGAGTAAATAGTAAGCACAGGAAATATTCCTGTCCTTCTGTTGTCATTTCATATTTGATTTGGCAAGTTAAAAACATGACTGTAAAAGCTGTTCATATGAGATAATCATCACTGCAGAGTTTGGGCCCAGAAAAGGGTGATATCTTCCTCCAAAACCAAATCTGTGATGGAAATTTCCAAGAAAGTCTCTGACAGATTACTAGTTTTACTGCAGGCCAGATGCAAACTGAAAGATACAGAACTTGATGATGCTTTCATCTTGGAGTTGCCAAATCTACTGCATTTCGCTTTTTATGTCTTACTCAAAAGTGGGTCATACTTGCCTCTGCTTATGTAAAAATATTAACTTACAAAAAATACACTGGATTCTGGAAAATATATACATATCTTGAGACATGCCCAGATATTAGTTTTTCTGATTCTCTATTCAAATTTCCTCAATATTAAAGAAAAAAAAAAAAGTAATAATCTGTCATAATAAAAAATACACTGCCTAAAAGATATTGAAACCTATTCCAACTGTACCTAATATAGCAGATACAACTTTTAGCCAAATGAGGAAAATCTAGACAGATCCCAATTCAGTTATGTGCATTACTAAATATATCATAAAGTTTCTAGTACTTGTAGAAATAGGTGGGAATACTACCTTAGTTCTTCAGGTGTTCACATACCTGGGGACACCTAGAGGAATCTGCTTTTATCTTTATTCATCACAAGCAAAAATAACCTAACAGTTGCTTTGGCAGGTTGCGTTGACAGCTGCATTAAGGCCACTGTGTGATGTCTGTACATGTTGAGCTCCTTCCAGGATTCTCACTTGGCTTCGGCAGTCATTTCTACTGTGGGCAGAGAAGCTCCATGAACAGGGATGCATGACATGAGAAAACATGTCAAGAAAAAATCACAGCTTTGTTTCTTCAGCTCAGCAGTCCTTGGGCATTTTAACTTCCACTAAAATTAATCTGCATTTGTGTTCGTTGCCAGCACAAGGATACACCTCATGTCTTGTATTGCCCTGTGTTGATATTTGCCACAGACATCCCCATCACAACTACCGTCAGACTACTGGGTGAAGAAGAAAGAGGCTGAAAACAGGTAAAACAGAGGTCCTTTACAAATAGAGAAAGCAAAAGAAATTTCTCTCCAATATCTACTGTCACTGTTTACAATTTTTAGCCATTACGTCTTTTCCTATTTTCTTTGACAGTGGTAGGTGATGGTCCACCATGCTGGCACAGTGAATGTGAGCCATCACTGTCCACATCTGAGAAAATGCCATCTCCAGTGCTAATGGAAATTTATTTTACAAAGTAATCATTGACTGAATTATCAGCTTCGAGATAACCTAGCTTTGTCTACCACTATTTTAAGTGCATTTTCAGTTACCTCTGTGCTCAACAGTTACATGCCTTGGTAGTTAAAACAGCATCACTAATAGCTTTCTAACTTCTCTTAAGAATATTAGTGGTTTTTAAGTATGCCTTACAGGGAGTCACAACAAATACACTGATATTACTAGATTTTGACGCTTTTTTAGGCTTTAAAAATTCAAGGTCACGCCTACCTCCTGGATACTTGAAGACCTGAATCTTCTCCCCACCCACAGCACCCCTGCCCTCAGGGAAGTGCAATCCTCTTGAGGAAAGGGGGTTCCCTTTGCCGCTGTCCCAGGGTGGGGGAGAGCGACCACCACCACCCGAGATACCTCAGCCCCGGCGGTGAGGTGAGGTGAGGTGAGGTGAGGTGAGGTGAGGTGAGGTGAGGTGAGGTGAGCCGGGCGGGTGTCGCTCAGCGCCATGGGGTGGGCTTTGGGCGGCACCGGGGGCAGCAGGCCCCGGACCAGGCCTCGGCCCCTCCTTGGGAGTGCGCCGTGGGCCTGGAGGTGCTGCTGACGTGTGTAGGTTCCCCCGGGGTCGGCGGCCGGAGCCCCGCCGGGGGAACTGCCAGAGCCCTGCCGCCAGCCCGGCCTCCCCCAGCCCAGCCCCGGGATGTCTCCAGCAGACGGAGGCAGGCGGGAGGTCGGGGTGTGGGGGTCTGGCAATGGGAGAAATTTGGGACGCGAACACCCGGGGTTTGCCCAGGTGGGGAAATAAAAAGTGAAAGAAAGGGGGAAAGTCTGCTTTGAACTGACTAAAAATAGAGTAACCATGTTTCATCAGTGATTTACATATAGGTAAGGGTAAAGCAGTAGGACTGTGTACGCATACCTCCGTAGGCAGTGGGTACAGGTGAAGCAGCTCCGGAGTCAGCCTGCTTAAGGCTGAATTACCTTAAATAAGTTGTGTCTGTTTCTCTGCTGACTGCAAAGAGAGGTTGTGACAACTGCGCTCAGTTTATTTTTTTATTCTGTTAAATATCTATAAATACATCTAGATTCATCCCAGCTAAATCTGCTTACGGGTAGCACATGCCAGAAAAACAGTTTTGGGATAGCTACTTCAGGATAAGGCTGGTTATTCTGGACCACTTGAAAAATCAGTGTGTAAAACCAGCAGTTCTAGGGTGAGTGTGTGCTCCTGGTCCAAATTCCAAGTATTTCTAGTAGTTGTCTTCATCACAAATTTAATGTGAGACATAACTGAAGTATTGCCCCTAATCCGAATCTTGTCCAGCTGCAAGCATAGCATAAAGATCCCATCTAGAAATGGCACAGAGCAATATATACAGGTGTAAAATGCAAGAACAAATGTGAACCACCTGCTAGTGACTCCCTTTAGAAACATGGCACCTGGCACTGGCATCCTTCTAATGATGACAGCAGTCAGAAGTATGGTTTAAGCAAGTGTTCAGGAATGTTTTTTTTGGGGGGGGGGGGGGGCAGGAGGGGGATAAAAAAAGGATAAAAGGCTTCCTAGCATGTTTCCAGGACTACTTGTTGACCTCAGAAACCGTAGGCAACTTTGCAGTGTTCCTTCCCAACAGAGATCCAGCTAAGCAGCTGCACCTTTTCTGCTATTCACCTGGTGAGGCTTGTTTTTATTATTTATTCCAGGTCACAGATCATGGAAAATTATGTGCTCCTGAGTTTAGACATACACATGTATGTATGTCTAAAAATGCAACTGTTTACAGCACCCTAAGTGTCTTCAGGAACTAATGTATTAGCTTTTGTTGGGTGTGACAAATGTTACACAGCCTGGAACTAGAGACTTGAGGCAGTTTGGAGGCTAAACAGGAGAAAAAAAGTAGGGCTTTAGCAATGTTCAAGGTCAATATCCAGAGATGCTTAGGTTTTATTTCATCTACCTTCACTGTTTTAAGTTTTGTTTCCTTGTTTTACCTATTTAGGTACAGACTGAGCAAATAAAGCAGAGTGATAAACTGGGTGAAGGGTGGAGGGGTTTTTGTTGTTGAACCTGAAATTCTTGCAAATTGATTTTATAGTCAATGGAACAAATCATTGACTAATACTAAAAGACTATTTGTGTATAGTGCATGAGTGTAGTTGTTCTTGACCAATCTTTGTATCGTTTATATTATCTTTTTTTTCCTGCTAGTGACAGTTTTAGAGGGAGGGTGAACAAACCGGCAAAGGGTAATCGTAATCTGATTTTCTATTATGTGACAATAAAAGAGGAAAGCTCTCAGACAGCATGTATGAACCTTGCACAGGGTTATTTATAGAAGACTCATCTGTTCTTCAGGGAAACAAAGAAACCTTTTCAACCCTGTCTAAAGTAGAGGAACAATCGAAGTTAAAACCTGCCTGAGGGCAAACCACCTTGTGTAACGATTCAGAGTTTATCCTTGGACAGGGAGCGTGTTGGCTCTTGGCTGTACTATCTTTGCACTTTGTGTAATCATTTATACCTCTGTGAAGTAACTGCAATGTACCTTCTTCTGTCTGACTTAGGCTTTGATTGTATTTTACATGGCTCCTGTGAGCTATATATGAAGGCTTCCAAAGGAGAGATTACATCTGAAATCCTCCTATAGATCGATCACAGACTGTTAAATATGTTAGAAATGCTGTTGCAGAGTGCACTGGCAAGCTTGGCAAGTCGATTTACAGTGGCTGAAGAAGGTTTTGCTTCAGCTTTACACTCTGCTCTGCTGGAGTGGCTGTCTACATAGCAGAGCTGGTGGGGAAAGCGTGGACTCTGGTGCAAAGGTTAGCATTTTAGCAACTGGGAAAGCAGGTAGATTGGTATTAAAATGCCAAACTGAGTCGAAGTATCTGAGAGATAAGGACGTGATGCCTTCTGCTGGGCAGGAGTGTTGAGAGAGGAGACAAAAGGAAAGGTGGGTGACCTTCAGCAGAGGGGCAGCGCATCCTAAATTGACACAACATGACCACCAGTACTAGCTGGTTTGACCACAGTGATTTATGGTTTCAAATGCCTCTCTTCTGGAAGCTACCACATTTAAATCTCCATGTAGAACCAGCAAAACAGAAGATGTTCCTGCTCCTTACCTGTTTCAGTGCAAAGTCAGAAGTTTAGTCAAGTGAAATTTTGCATTCACGCAGCTGGAGTTGCAGATGCAAGTTTCCTTCTGACTCTTCTGCTGCAGGGATGTGAGAGTTAGCAGAGGCGCATAAGTGCAAATTTATGATAAAGATGCAAGGACTTTTGCCCCCTCCTCACCTTTATGTGTCAGCTGTCTGCACACTCACCCAGGCTGAGCAATGTGCTCACTGTGAGTTGCAGTCTGGCACAACAGCTTCTATCTCGTCCAAAGCCAGAGGGGCTGGCGGGCAGGCAGGCAGTGTGCATCCTTTCTTCTGTCTTATTTTGCAGCCCCAGGCTGTCACTCTACCCTTCAGATCCCTATCTCTACATGATGGGGAGCCATAATCTAATGCAAAGAAAGGCTGTCTCCTGTCCCATGAGCACTGGGACTTTGCAATGGTGCTCAGATAGTGAAGGGCAGTAATTTATCCGTAACAGACAAAAAGCTCTCAAAAGCAGCTGCAGTGACCACTAATCCTATCCACTTTTATTACTAAAACCAGAGAAGTGAAGTGGCTAAGACACTCCCAGAGGTAGATATGCCTTTACCCAATCCAAACCCTGAGATGGCTAGATCAAAGAACTACTCATCACACAACAGCCTAACACTTTCCCTGCAAATGCTGCCTAAAACCTCCCCAACTCCTGACTTCATCACGTATGGAAAAATTCCCTCATCTTAACAACCCAGATGGTTGTGCCTCATAGGAGTGACATGGAGTATTTTTCTCTTTATGGGCTCAGGAAGACTTATAGTAAGCAGTCAGTATGCATATTTGTGACATTGTCCAGCAGCAACACTACAAAATTGAAATGATCTTTGCTGTGATAGCAGGTTTTGAAATCGTGGGCTGTAGGCCTTGCCTGGCCCACAGGGGATGGGTTCCTCCCTTCTGCTCTGGAATGAGTCCTCACAGTCACAGGCGTTTCGATGCTACCAGGAAGATCATCTTGTCTGTTTTCAGTGGTCTGCTTAACACAAGTAGGGCTGCAGGAACAATACCCACAATCTTCTTAGCAATATATCCTAAGAAGAACAAATTTACACCTGGGATGTCACATGTGCAAAATTTTAATCTTTTTTATATATGCCGCCTTATCTGAATCGTGTTTTAGGGGGATTATCATAGTTGGTTTTGTTTCTTTCTGTGTATAGATTCTGCCATTCCTGTATTTCATAGAAAAGTTTGGGTTGGAAGGGACCTTAAAGACCATCTAGTTCCACCGCCCCTGCCATGGGCAGGGACACCTTCCACTAGACCAGGGGGCTCCCAGCCCCGTCCAACTTGGCCTTAACCCTTCGAGGGAGGGGGCAGCCACAGCTGCTCTGGGCACCCTGGGCCAGCGCCTCACCACCCTCACAGGGAAGAATTTCTTCCTTGTATCTAATCTAAATCTACCCTCTTTCAGTTTAATTCTGTTACCCCTCATCCTATCACTACACCCCCTGATAAAGAGTCCCTCCCCACCTTTCCTGTAGGCCCCCTTTAAGTACTGGAAGGCTGCTATGTCGTTTCCCTACAAGTTTAAAGAATAACGTGTGGTGCTTAATGTTCTTTCTGAATGAATTCCAGCCACTGATATTGCCAAGAAGATGGAGAGCACACAGAATGCAAAACACACGCTTGCAACCTTGAAGACTAACTACTGACTAATTTCAGAGATGTATCCATGCATGAGAACTAACGCTATTAAGATCCCTTTTTAAGGGCATGTCTGAACAGAGAAACTCCACCAGCATCTCATATTTTTATGCCTGTTATTTTGTGGGAGGAGATTGTACAGCTTAGACCTGACTCCCTCTTATTTTTTTCTCTGAATGGATTCACATCTGGCTTTTATACTTTCTTCTGTCTTGATAACTGCAAAACAGTAGCCTTAAATCTTTCTTGTCTAGCAGCAGCAGTGTGAAAATACCATAAAATGTAAACCAGCAAGTAAATGTGTGAACTTCAGAAAGACTGCTCTTTGCAGGGCTGCGGGGGATTACAGAGAACATAAGAAAAGCAGTAAAAAAGTTTATTTGTTGAGAACACTATTGGTTCTTTACCTTTTTGCCATGGATTTTCTATGTCAGAAAGATCTGCTTAAAACTAACAATGCAATGCATGAACTGCAATACCTTGATATTAACGGTAGCTAAATATTGAATTTAATTTCAATATTTTTAAATTAGGTTTTGCAGAAGGGACCCAGTTTAACAGGTATGTTAAGTAGTACTGAGCTATATATGGCTTGCTAGTCTTCTCAATGCTTAGTAGAGTTTAAGTACTGCTTTTCACTGTTCAGTGGCAGAGAACAAGTGACCCGATAAAAGTATTTCACACAGTTATGATTTAAAAAGTAAAGTCAAACCAGTAGAAGAATTATCTTTTTTTTTTTTTTAATTGAAACTTGTTTCCGTTTCATAGAAATTAACATGAATCCTTTACTAATAATTTTAAAGCATAACACTCAAATAATACTTAAAATGAATGCTAATTAATTTTTTTGTGTATGAATACAAGGTAAAACATTTTACTTGCACTCAGTATGATTTTGGTAGAATTTAGCTGCATGTGACCTGCTTTGTAGAAGCAACCATGCTTTGACGAGTCAGCAGTTTTTCCTGTTATTCTTGGGGAAGAACAATGTTTACTTTCAAATAAAAGTCTTTTAAAATGTTGGTTATCCAGAATGAGTAAGACTAATAATAATTTAAATGTAATTGTCTCTCTTCTAATAATTTGTTCTTCAGAAATAGTTTTGAATTAAGAAGACTGACAGCTTTTCTTATTTATATACTTACTATATATATATATAATATATATATTTACAGAATAGATGTGTGTTGTATGTCAAAAGTTTAAATTCTTTTTCCTTTTCATTCTCTTTCAGGGCAGGACCTGTTAAAACAATTGATTAGGTGTGTAGCAATTCTAGAATGGCTGAGGTCTTGAAGTTCAATGGCCTTTAGTTTTGTTCATTAATAATTAGGAGCAATTTTGTTATCATTATTAAAATGCTTTTTTATTCATGTAATTTAAAGTCCCTTATATTTTTTGCTATTTCAATTCCTAAATGACACATTATTCAGGTTGCTCGCTCAGACCTATCTCCTTATCGGTTATTGTTCTGCTGATGCTCAGAAAAACGTCAACATTTATCCACACACATTTGAAAACTGCACTAACCTGAAAGCAGTGTCTCCACCGTGCAACAAGACCATATTCTCTACTGCAAGTTCAGTAGGAATCCTCTGTGAGAGAGTATCGATACTCAGTGAGGGCTTCTCAGAATTGGTAGTTTCGTTGCACATGCTCCAAGTGTATCACAGCAATTAAATGGTGCTTTTATGAAATGTCTATGGTTGTAGTGTTCAATATTTTAATCTGTCCTTCTCTGAGGTCATGGCTGTGTTAAGGGTGCTTGTCTGGATCACACGGCTCGCAGCATCCATTGGCAAAGCTGACCGTTTGCCAGCATAGCACACATCACACCCACAGACATGTCATACACCCGTGCCACATTTTAGCTATGGCAAAATAAGCTCCTAATGATATCTGGCCAAAGAAATCTAAATACTTCTTTTATTGCTTGTACTACTAAAAATCAGATAAATCTGCATTCACTAACAATATACTATCCCTTATCCCCAGATATTCCTGTCTTTATTGCCAGGGTGAAGTAGATGAGGATGAGCTAACGGACCACCCTCTCACTTACCACTGATTGGAGAGCACTGGTAATGTACATAAGTATTTATTTTACTGAATTCACATGTTAGGTTGAATAATTCTACCAATCATTACTGATAGGAGATAATAGACAAAGAGAAGATATATTGTTTAATTGGTTTTGACAGTGGAGGAAAAATGTACCTATATTAATTCCCTCTCCCCATTTCTCACAGACAAGCATGTATGCACATAATATTTAAAATACTAGCACTCCCACAATTGTGAGTGCTGGTGGGAGCACTGAAAAATGGAGTAGGAAGTCTTATGATGGATACAACAAACCATTACTTACAGCCAAGACAGTGATTATCATTAGGTTCAGTCACTTGCCTGCTTTTAAGTCCTGCATGTGCTATTTCTACTGCCTTAACTCAAATTTATGTGCAGCATTTGCTTTGTATTCTCATTTGGGTTTTGAGGTTATAATTTGAGAACTGCATATTTGGCTTTACATAGGAGTCTGTCATAGTGGGGATTTTAATTTTTATTTTTTAAGTTAACTTCACATAAATGGCTTCATTCTGAAGGTCCACGGAGGCTGTGAGGTCTTACTGTGACCCTGTTTGTATGGATACACAAATTGTTTTGGATGATAAACAAATGTTGTATTCAATAAAACAAATGCTTTTGCCTGACTGTTCTCTTGCAGCTAGTACAAGGGAATATATTAACCATCAGCTTTATGTGGGTTGACAGTCCTTGGGATGTCTGCAGACATGAATTACACAGCAGGGATTAGCATAATTGACAGCTGATCTGGAAGTGCACTGTGACTAGCAGTCTTCGTCTTGCTCAAAGAATGCCATTTGGCCATAACAGATTCACTTATTTCACAATTCTGTTTTTTTTAAACACTGATAACATTTCTTCTGCAAGACCTCCAATGTGAAAACTGAATACTTCCTTCCATTTATTTAAATTGTTGTACAATTGTTTAACACCTGGGAGAGATCCAAGCTATTTCAGCAGACATTTTATAAGGCATCTTCAACTCAGACATACACTCAGTTATGAAGACTACATAGTGAGTAATGGTATTTGCAAACTACTGGACTTGATTTCTTTATGTGTATCTTCTTCCACAACTTTTACAATCAAGAAGTCATGAAAAGAACTGAGCAGATAACTGCACCGTGAAGTCACAAAGCGTGGCAGATGTGTACAGAAGCAGCACAGTCTGGTGCTGAGAGGTACCAATTTACAGATTCTGTCCTCAGTTCTGTTGCTGACTAATGGTGAGACAAGGGAAAGGTACTCCATTACCTCATTTCTTAGCAGGTATTAGGCATCTGACTTCTGTTTATAAATGTCTTGGAGATCCTTGAAAACCTGCGTACTTTAAATGAAAGTTGTTTCAACAACCCATTTTTGTTCTATAAGAACCTAAGATGACAGTTGTACTTCTGAAAGGTGCTGCAGCTGTTTCCTGTCTGAGTGGGCTGTAAAATAGAAAACGTAGCATAAGCATTAGTATGCTGTTTGAATTACTCAAGATTATCAGTTAATGCTTTCCTATGCTTATGTTTAATATTCATCCAGACAAAAGTCCAAAGATATAAAACTTTTTTTTTTTTTTTAATGGGGCAAAAGCACTAAACAAAATGATATCCAAATGGAGGGAGAAAGGGGTAAAGAACCATCTTAATAATATAAATCTGTAATTCATGCACATGGCAGAAACAGACCTATATATGATAGCATTTTAATGATAGCTCACACAGATATAGCTTCAAAAAGTATAGCTAAGACTTGAGTATTTATTTCTATACCCAGTAATATAACATGCATCACCAAACTGGACTGTGTAATAAATAGCAATAGCATTGCTGGGTTTTGCATAATCACTGAATTCATCTGCTTCTGCATTTGACATTCTCATTTATTTAAAGTTTCATAATGATTTCTCTTGCTTTATGTTGCAGTGTTTACCACTAAGGAGTAGACAGTTGGGCACTAAACTTTAAACATGGATGTAAATCCACTGAAACCAGTATTTTGTTAACTGGTAACCCAGCAGTCAAAATTAAGTCCATTAACACAAGCATTACTATCTTGATAGTCAATAAAATATCCTTTTTTTTCTTTCAGGACATAGACACTGTTGGAGAAATTCTTGTTAAAAGAGTTCTGGATGGGTCATGCTTGGACCACGTGCATGTGAGTCATCCAAACAGCGCGTAAGGGCTAAGAGTGGAAGAACATGTTCTGTAGATAAACACGGTCATTAAAATTTAGCCTTTTGCAATTAACACAGTGTTAGTAACCTGTGTGGACCTAAAAATGGTGTGCTTTTCTTTCTTAAGCATTGTTTTGGTTTTGAGTTTTGGTTTTTTTTTTTTTTTAATTAAATTTCAGTTTCATTTAAAAAATGTCTATTGGTTGATTGTTTTTTGTAAGGATAAAAAAAAATGTTGTCAGTTTCTCTATCTGATATACAATGGTCCTGAACTCTCTGCTAGTCCAGAATACAGATACACTGGCTTTGACAGCAGCCTCACCTATTTGTTAGTAGCTCCATTCCAGGAGCAGGCCAGTCTTTTGTACATTGGTGATGACAATGCAGTGCTGGACGTAGATGACAAACAACAGCTTTCCAGATGCTACAGGGCCAAAGAAATTTGAATAAAGACCCCCTCAAATCAGTATCAAACATACTACCTACTGTCAATGACAGTATTATTGACCCCGTAAGACTGCATATAAGTTTCCATTTACAGTGCAAGATGAGACTCAAAATTAACAAAGTTGGCAAGTGAAAGCCATCTTGAAAAAATAGCAAGTAGTACATATTACATTTATAATAGCAAAATAGAAACCTGTTGAAGAAATTGACAGTCTTTTAACTAACCTGTATTCTTACTTGAGCTAAAAGAAGTATGTACAGTTTTTTTACATATAGTATTAGCATAGTATCTCTCAAAGATGCAGTTGATCTGTTAAGAAATGAAAATTAATGTTCATGCATAGAAGCATGTACAGCGATTAAAGCTGCTTTAATCACATGGTAACATATTATCAAGGAAACTGCAAACAGACTTCAGGTCTTTACTAGCTTTTCTTGGAATCAGAAAGTGGCTTTTTGGGAAGAGAAAGATTCAATGTTTCATGTACCTGGGAAAGTTGCTTTCCTTTCTCTTTGAGAACTGTCCTTGGGAATGAAGACTCCTCAGTCAGAAAGATGGATAGTGCTGCTCCAAAGAGTGGGATTTGTGGGAATATTTGAGCAACTAAAAAAAACCACATCTGGTCTGCCAGAGCAAAGTAGTCAAAAATATTGGGAAAAAGTTATTTGATATATGGCTTCCTGCACATCTACAAAGTGCATACAGAACTTGTTATATGTATGAAATAAGCTACCACTGTAGGAGCATTGTCCTTAGTTTTATCTGTGGCTGCAAGTGTTCTTTGTCAGTAGTGATTAGTGATACAGATACACCTGGCAAAAGCATCTCTTCTCCTTGCACGTGGCACCTTCTGATCCCCTTGCAGTTACACAGCCTTCTCTCTTTCCCCTTCTGCTCACATCCACCTTTGCTTCCAGAGTACAAATCCTTGCCCTTTTCAAATTGGTAAGGAGGGGTACTGTTCTTCTAGCAGCATTGTCAAGAAAGCAACCAAAATAATAGTTGTACAAAAAGTAGTTGTCAAAAGTTGTACAACAGCTGTGCAAAAGTGATCTAAAATGTACCTCTTCAGTGGCAGTTGCCCCCTGCAAACGGCAAAATTTTATGTGCACTTCTACAACTTTTCGCTGTTGGGATTTCATTTCACAAACATTTTTTATCATGAGGAATAAAAGTTGGCAGGGCCACTGGTTTCATTTAATCGAAAAAGTCTGTTTTAAAATGCTTTCCTTCAAATAAATCTCTTTCATAAACTTCAGCTGCCTGATTTCTCTTTACATGTTGTCTATGTCAATGGCAAAAACTACACAAGATTTACAAGGCTGGTGCCATGCTATATATTGCTCCGTGGCATTCTAGTTGTCAACTCCAAGGTCACAGCTTTATTAAAGGATCAAGATTTACAATAACGTTAGCAAGAGCATGAATGCCTTCACACATACCTTCCTGTAGTTTACTTCCCTGAGGTCATCTGCGCGATTTCTCCCCCTGCCAAAAGCTACTAATCGATAAATACTGCGGTCTCCTGAACAAAGTTCAAATGGACCTATCATGTTCCTTTAGTAATAAATCTTTGCTTTTGTTTAACACCTGCCTTCAAAGGACGTAACCTTCTTTACCCACAGTAATTAATTTAACTTCACAGCAGCCTTATTTGGTGATTAAAAACTGCTCTCCTTTTACAGATTGAGAAATTGAGGCATAAGGACGTGCTTTGCTGAAGTCATACAGGAAGACTGAAAAGACTTGGAAGCTCACCTCTGCCAGCCTCTCATGTGCTAAGGCTGAAGGCCATGCTGTCTCTCTTCCAACGAGTGATGCAAGGTGGTTGCATAGCATCTGAAGTGAGACTTCTGTAATTGTTCCTTTTAATGTGCTGTCACAGCATGAATAGGGCACACCTGAAGCTCGATATACAGTTGTGGTATAGTCCTAACTGACACAAAAGCACACAAGAAGCATTCTGCAGGCTGTTTACCACTTAAAGCATAGTTCTGTGTCATCTTTTGGCTGTACTTGCACTGTTGAAGAGGTTACTGCCACCAACTGCCACTTGTTTACCCATTGTGACTACTCAGATCTACCTGCCTGGCTTCCTACTTCATTTCAGGGAAGAAGATAAGCAGTTAATCGCTTTAAATAGGAGGGCTTTTTTGCTAGCCCATGAACAGCACAGATAATCCTTAGCAGCTACTTAGAGTGGTGATGGACACGGGAGCAGTAACCTCCTGAGCTAGCACCGCCACCGTTACAAGAGGACAACTTACCATAACGCCTCAAATCCCAGGCCTGTCCTCTCGGGAGATCTCTGCCCAGGGAGTTCTGCCGTTTCCACTGGATTTTCTCCCAACCTGAACTATGGGCAGTAAATATCCCAGCCCAGGCAACCTAAGGCTTACATTGAGCCCATCGCTTTGGATGTGCTTCCCTTAAGTGTTCCAGATCTCCTGGTACTTAGAGACATTAAAATTTTGCCTCCACGTGGTCTAAAAAGAAGGTAGTTAGGGCAGTCACTGGCTTTTGCTTAGAAAGATATTAGTATTTTAGCTAATAGTAATTGCGATAGACCCGGAATAAGAAAACAGAGCCAGCATCCTTCGTAGAATCACAGGATGGTTCACCCCTCATCCTGACCTGAAGAGAGACCTGAGCTTCAGCTTTGTTTCCTGCAGTTCCCTCTCTCCTCTCCAAACCACGAGCCCAGATGGTGGCGTGGCCACTGCCTTTTGCTGCCGGTCGCTGACAGATAGAAGAAGCAGCTCTGACGAACGTATGAAACCTAACTGGTTTTGAAATGCCAGAGGCTGAAGGCAGTGGTGAGCCAAGAGTCTCAGACCTCCCCACCTAGTGATCTCCTCTGAACACCCGGCTAAGGCATTGACAGCTGCAGTCCCAAAGAGACAGGGAAAATGAAGGTGAAGGACCCATTTCTCCTCAACCCTTCTCCCACATCGTTGATATGGGGTGAAAGACCAGGCCTACCCTGAATCTTAGTTTTATTATGAACTAATATGATCTTCATAAATTAATATATTCTGGGAAAAAAAATATAATCTCTACAAATTCGTTCATTTTGAAGTATTGCCAGCATTTTGTTTGTTGTTTACCTGCCAAGAGTTGTGTTCAGAGGAAGTGAAGGCCAGATATGCTTAACAGGTCCAAAGTCTTCTCTACCCAGAGAAATTTGTTGGCATTACTATTTTGCTATAACGATATCCTTATAATTCCTTATTCTGGAAGAAAAGTGCACAGTCGTACTGCTGAATTAAGATTGTCAGTATCATTCAGGAGGCAGAAATCCTGGCACAAATATTACTGAAACCACGGCATAAAATCACCGCTAGTATCGGTCGATCTACAAACAAACGAAAGAGAGCGCAGAAACGGTTTCAGTATTGCCTTATTTGTGCGGAAGGTGGCCCCGAACGCACCCTCTGATGCCGGGTCCCGGTCCGGGTCCCGGTCCGGGTCCCTGTCCCGGCTGGGCCCGCCTGCCGCCAGCCCGGGCGGTGAGGGCGGAGCGGGGACACCTCCCGGGCAGGGCAGGACGGAGCTAAGGCCGCCCCACCGTGTCGTAGCAGCCCCTCCGGGGCGGGAGGCGATCGCCATGGAAACCCGGGCCCCGGTCCCGCCCCTGCTTCCCCCCCACACACACCCCGGGAGAGCGGCGGCGGGGCGGGGGTGCCGCCGCCGCCGGGAACCCGCCCGGAGCTGCGGCCGGGAGGCGGCGCCCGCCCCGGGCACCGCCAGGTAGAACGCGGGGCGGGGGCGCTTCCCGGGCCGGGGAGGGAGAGAGGGAGGGGGCGGGCCGTGCCGTGCCGTGCCGTGCCGTGCCGTGCCGTGCCGTGCCGTGCCGTGCCGTGCCGTGTCGTGTCGTGTGCCGGGCTGTGCCGTGCCGGGCTGTGCGGCGCGCAGGCCGGGCCCCGCTCCTCCGCCGCGGCCCAGCCTCCCACCTGGCGCCAGGTGCCCGCCCGCCATCTTCCCCCGGCTCCCTCCGCCCCCGGCGGCCCGGGGCTGCCCGGCGGCGCCCCGCGGGAGCCGAGCTCAGCTCAGCTCAGCTCAGCTCAGCTCAGCCCAGCTCGCCAGGGCGGGGCTTGTTTCTCCTCCCCGATCCTCACGGAGAGGCCCTGACGTGTTGCCATGGCCGAGGGACCCGCGGCGGCGTGCTTCAGCGAGGATGATTTTTACTGTCCCGTCTGCCAGGAGGTCTTCAAAACGCCCGTGAGGACTGCGAACTGCCAGCACGTGTGGGTATTCCTCCCTGCCTCCCCCCTCACCCTTCCCCCCCCCGCCGCCCCTTCCACCAGCCTTTACCTCCCTTCCTCCGGTTCTCCGTGCCCGGAGCCCCGGCCGCGCCGGACCCGCGGAGCTCGTTGCCCGCCGGCCCGGGAGGCGCCGAGCCACCGCCGCCGCGGGCTGGCAGGCAGGCAGGCAGGCAGGCAGGCTGGCTGGCGTGCCGAGGGCTGCCCCGGCCTTCCCTCGCCTCTTTCTTCCGTAGCGGCTGAAGAGCGGTCAGTTAGGAAAGCCACCTCCTGCAACGATCCCCGGCCGGTGGGGGCTGTGTCACAGCCGGTGAAAACATCTTACCCCTCTAACCTACCGAACTCGCGGTTTTGACTTCGTAGTTTCCTGTTCTTTTTCGAGCAAGGACCATAGCGTAGCTGTTCTCTCCTTTCAGTTCGTCTATTCTGCATTTTTCAGAGGAACACTTAATTACAAAGTACTACTTTGTGGAAAAGCGGAGTAGCTTTGGCAGTTGATACACGAGGAGAACCACAAAGGCTGATGAACTTTGATGATCTTTGGAAGTGTGTGCTAAATGGAGCTGTGCGGTATTTTTGACTCCACTTAAGGACAATGAACAGGAATTACTCTGATAAGATTTTCCAATATCACGTGCCTGCTGCACCATTTAATGGCTCATTAATGATCAATCCAGTGTACAGCTTAGGGGTACTAGTCTGTAAATGGTAAGGTCTTTACCTAAAGTGCATTGCTAAGTTCCCCTAATTTCCATATACTACTTTGTAAGCACCATTATTTAATTTTGCTTCTATTTATAAAGATTTGTATTCAGTAGACTATTACTCAGATAATATATCTTTTTTTCTTTTCCCCTAATAATCACCTAGCTCTCTTTAAGGATGAAGTATCTAACTCTCTTCACTTTGCTAACCTGTGTTTGTGGTAACTTTTTAATTTAGGTTTTGCAGGAAGTGCTTCTTGACAGCTATCAGAGAAAGTGGAACACATTGTCCTCTCTGCCGAGGGAGCGTGACTAAAAAAGAAAGAACATATCCCAAAAGGGCTCTAGATGTTGAAAACAGTATGAAGAAAGCTTCTGGGGGCTGTAGATGCTGTGAGAAGCAGGTAGGGTAAAACTTTACAAAAAGTTGGATAAATTTTTCTTATTTTTGACCAGACACACTTTTACTTGTGTGTCGTTCTTGTCTTGGATCTGAAGGACCTGTAGCAGTTTGAACTTAGCTTTGTATGGCTTGTGCATATACTAGGCACGCAGTGCCTGATAGGTATGCCTAACAGGTATAAGCTGAAAGAGGATCTTGTATTGTCTTGTCTATAAGGACTTTTTAAATAGAGTGCCAGTTTTTCCCCCAAAACAATGTGAAAACTGGATATTGCTATAAGACTAACAAAAGACAAGTTAGACAACTGGAAGTTGCAGATATATGGAAAAACCTCAGAAACTTTCGCTATGGAAATAGAAGTGCTTGGAGCTACTGTCAAATTTAATTTAAAACCAAAAAATGCAGGTTGGTTTCTCTTAGTGTACATACAATTATATGTGATTTCTCCCTCCCCATCAGTCTGTTTACATTCCCTTTATTCCCTTTGTAAAGGGGTCATTATTTTCAGAATGTTGGGTGAAATCTTGACACACACACCCCCTCCCCCCCCCCGAAATCAAGAGTAGTCTCTCTTCTGATATAAATGGATGCAGGATTTCAGTCACACATTTTGTTTACATCAAATCCAGGTACTCTCCATGTTTGTTTCATTTCATTTGGGACTTAGTTCTGCCAATGTGAAGATTAGCACTGGTGGAAAGCTGAGCTGTTTGCTTTGTTCCACATGATTCATTAGGATGAAAAGCTGGGAGAAAGCAACAATAACAAGTTGATAAACTGAAAAGAAGAATCAGATGGATCCCCAGAAGAACTCTGATGGAATTTAGGCACAGGCATGTGAGATGTGATCTTGTTCAGCCTCTAAACGTGTGAGCACTTTCTGACTGTGCTGTGGGACCTGAAATTCTAGTACAGGGCATGTCCGGCACAGCTGTCTTTTGACAAATCTAAGCAAGTCACTGTTTTACCTCTCATTTAAGGTGGATAGGCAGCCTTAAGTTGGTGTTCGTTCACCTTTTCTTCCCCACCCCGCAAGAGAGAAGTATTGTATTCTCAGAACACACCTAATGTAAAAACATTTTGCTCTGCAGAAGGTAACAGCAGGCCAGAGAAGACTGAAGAAGCAGTGGTGCTTATCCCATCCTCGTGGCCCCTCTCTGTCATAGCTCATCAGTTATTGAACCTGGATGTGGGAGGCGTAGTTCCTGTGACTTCGTTTCAGTAAAATGGAGTTTACTTGCATCTTTCACCCCTGAGAGAGCTCTCAGATGCCTGGCTGTTGAGGGTTTGGAGAGTGGGAATGTTCTCCAGTCTCACAGAGTGACTGAGGCTCTATGGAAAAAGGAATCGAAGCTCCCCTGTTGGGGAAGAAAGTGTTCATGCTGAGAGGGGAGGCACAAGTTCTGGTTTCTGCTGCATAAGATGTTTATATAATTCCTGCATGCATTGCTTTCTGTTGGCAGAATTATCTCTTCTTTCTATCCCTGGATTGTTTAGTATAACTTCAATAATTTGGCATTTCATTTTCAGGTTAGATTTTCGTGGATGAGACAGCATTATAAAACGTGTAAGAAGTATCAGGATGAATATGGTGTTTCTTCTATTATTCCAAACTTACAGATTTCCCAAGATTCAACAGGGAACAGGTAATCAGGGTGTTTTATGTATAACAGTGCTTCTTCTTCTCCCCCTACCCCACCTCAGGAAAGTTGTTTTGTTTTGTTTTGTTTTGTTTTTTCCAGGGCATGCCTTCTTTTTGCAATAATTATTGTCCATATTTTTGTGCTTCAAAAAATGACAGTTTTTCCAGGTCTTTTTCTTTACCCTTAGCATACAGAAGACGACCTTTCTGCATGATGCTTTGGAATGTCTTCTAGGGACTGTCCTGAAATGTGTATAGTATTTGTAGCTTGCTTTCCTTGCCTTGGCAGCACTTGAGCAGCTTACTTTGTAACATATTTCATAATATTTAGTCCCAGGGAAGTTCCCTTCTCTTTTTATTCCCCTTCCCCTTTCCTAGGTCTGTTTAAGTGGGTATCCTGTTTCAAAACATTACTGTGCAAGCTTTTGCTTTCTGATTTAATTTATTTTGAACTGATCTCTTACGAAATATATGAGGAACTCTAATAAGTTACACACCATAAAATACAAATGACACCATTTGTTTTCAGGCAGTACAGATAAAAACTTTCTTTTTCATACCTTCTCACGGATATATTTGGTTTGGTTGGGGATTTTGTTTAGTTTTGAAGACTTTTTTTTTTTTACACATTAGTTTCATAGGACTTTCTTATATATAGCCTGTCTTCCGTTTACTTTCTTTTGACAACTATTTTCTATTTCTAGCAGTCTGAACTTCTCTGTGTTTGGTTTTCAACCCATCAGTATATTGAAAGCGGAAGTTTAAGCTGTTACCAGAACTAGCTGCAGCAATGTTTCACCAAAGTGAATATTGTTATATCACTATTTGTTGACTATGCCACAGTAGAATACCTGTGCTTATAATATTATGGAAGTATAAGAAAATGTACTGTGACGAGATTTGTGACCGTAAATATTCATGTTTTTAGGATGATCAGCATGTCTGAGCAGTTTCTTCTGAAGTGCATATATGGTCAAAATTAATTTGTAAAATATGCCTGTCTGTCACTCTTACTTTAGGAAATAGTTTATTTTGTGCTCAGCATAAGAAAATGTATCTTGCTGTAGTTTAAAGTTGTAAATTATTTGTGTAAACACATGGCAGATAAATGCCTATTTACAGAATCTTAAATCAAAAAACTTAGTGTTACCTGTCTTACATTCATGTAGTTTATAATGCCTTTTGAACTACTTAGCTATAATCTGCATTACCATTCTTGTTGACTAAATGTTTGTTGCATTATATACCACTTTATAGGAAAGTTTTGCAGTATTCCTCCAAGGGTCACCATGGTAACTACCTACTGAGACATACCTTGATCCAAAGGGAAAGTTGTGAGAGTTAAAATATGTGCAACTGTATGTTTTGCCTTGAAATTCATGGGATCTAATGGATTCCCTCCTGTTACTGTTAAACTTTTAGAAATTTTGATAGTGAAGTAAAATAATCTCAATTTTCATTGTGGTTTTTTTTTTTATTTATTTTTTTGTTTTCATTTAAAGTAGCAGGAGTGATGCAATAGCTGATAATGGCGAGATGGCTAATAATCAAATACTTCAAGGAGAAACAAGGTAGGCTGCTTATTTTTCTATAGTTGTTATTAAAATAGGTCCAGACTGCCGCAGTGTAAGCTTCTACTGACATTAAAAAAGCCCCACACAAACATCTACAACAAATTGTATTAAAAAAACCCACTGTAGTTTCTTCTACGTTTGCATCTATGTTAGAATTTGTTTTTTTCAGTACTTTCCTGAAGGATTTGCACTAAAAGATGTTACCAGTAAGGAAGAACAGGGTGCAGCTGAAATTGGAACTGAAGAATTTTCTAAAGTCCAAGTGTCAGAAGGATGAATTTAGGCTTACAAATAATAAATGTGCTTTAAAATTGCAATATGGAAGTAGCACTGGAACTTCCTTAGATCCGCTACTGTGTCAGTGAGGGTGGGATTTTTTTGTTGTTATTAAAACAAGGGAAAATAATAACAAGATAACAGATTTATTAAGTTTAAAATTGTGTGTTTCTGTTTACAGTGGACACCCAACCTTCAAATGCCCCTTGTGTCAGGAAGCGAATTTTACCAGACAACGCTTGCTGGATCACTGTAATAATAGACATCTTTATCAGATAGTTCCTGTAGTAAGTAGTGTTGCTTGTGTGTGCTTCTTAAGATACTTTCATTATAATGATGTGAGCAATTTTAAATGTGCAGTAGCTACTCTATATCTGTGAAGATTACTGCGGTCTGAGAAACACCGCATTAAGTATATTGTCTATTTAACTTGAGTGACTTTCATCTGAGACTGTTTCTGGTCCAGCTTCTCGTTGGTTCTAAGGCATTTCTGACTTAGCTGTCGCATTTATCTTGATGTGAAACAAACTTGTTTTTTGAGCCTGACACTTTTCTTCATGCAGTAATTCAGATCTGTTTCTATAAATCCCATTGGTAACATAACTGTTGTTTAATGTGAAACCTACAGTTACTTGAAAAGTAATCAAAGGGATTGAAGGATAAAAATCTGTTTGGTTTTCTATTCTTTTCATCTGTATAGGGTGTGTTATTTTTTCTTTCAGCTTACTTGATCATCTCAATTGTATGAAAATTCTCCCAAACAATAAGTAGGATGCAGTAATTGCTTTCTTTTCTAAATTTTAAAACAACAGAAATTGACAAAAGGAGTGCCAGACAGACATGATAATCCTCCACTCCTAAGAGAAACACTTAAGAAATTTGGCAAGTTGGAATGTAATTTTTGAATGTTACACAATTGAGGAAAAGAACACTTAGAACTATGATTTTATGTGAACGTCTTTATGTTAGTAGTGGATGTGTAATAGATGAGTTATTCCTGTTGAACGTGTTTTTTAATGCATTCTGTATTACCAATAACTTTTTTTAATTCTCTCTCTTTCCCCTTCCCCTCCAAATTCAGATCTGTCCTATTTGTGTATCTCTTCCTTGGGCAGATACTAACCCGGTTACTAGAAGTCTTGTTAGCCATCTAAATCTAAGACACCAGTTTGACTACGGAGAATTTGTGGTAAGCTTTTTCTTCTTTGATGTGTAGGGGAATAAATGGTAACATTTTTCTATGAATAAAAATGCCAAATAAAAAATTTGCACCAAACTTGTTTGTGCTCTGGACATGCTATGTTCCTGCTCTGTACAGAATTCAGAAGTAGGCCAGTCTGTTCTTAAACTTTACGTTATCACCATGAAGCATTACCAGGAATAGGTGTTGTCAACGGTTAAGCTCTGCTCCAAACTGATGACTTAAGTATTTATCTTAGTTTATTACTGCTGCTTCTGAGGGAAACAAAATAGATGCTACTCTGTTTTATTGACACTTTTGACCTTTTATGGCAGAAATGTCTAAATCATAATTCTCAGAAGTGCAGCTTAACAAGCTGGCATTGCTGCTGCAGCCTCCCTTCCTGTATGTTCTGAGGGAGGCCGCAGTGTGAGAGAGATGTGTCATTGAATCATTGTTCTGGTTGCCTTCTTTCAGGCTCACTTTGAGTAAATGACCTCGGAGTAGATGCAGAACTGCACACACAGATGTAGTCACTGGGTGGATCGTAGGTCAAGCCAACCAGTTGAGTTCTGCCTGTGGAATCAGAGAGCTGGAGAGTTCGTGTTGTAGTTTCTACAGAGTTTGACAGGCTTTGGGGTAAACTGCTTGGGCTTTGTGTGGGACGAGCCTAGTGCTCGGGGCCTAGGCAGCCTCGATGGTTAAAGATGGCAAAGATGGTGCAGATTGTTCTTTGTGCCTTTGTGACAGATCACTCGACACAAAGAGCTAGGAGATTGATATAGGGGATTGGGCTCTTCAGCAGGAGAGCATCTTGCATATCGGAGGATGTAAAACCGGTGATTGGAATTCTGATTTGGAGCAGCTGCCAGAATTGCACTAAAAAAGTGTATTAGTCTGGCATACTAACAACTTGGAAGATAGTTTTTCAAAAGTAGCAGGGTTAACCACCCATCTTCTGTGAAACATGTTTGCTTTCTCATTTAAGCAGTATATTCTCAGCAATCTATGATTACTATTGTTTGGGGATCACATTTTGGTTTTATTAATGGAGGTTGTTATGGCTGATTGGAATCCCTGTTACAAGAATTGTGTGACACACAATTTTCCTGAGCTGGCTATTCTGTAATGTAATTGAGCCAGGGAGAGAAGATGGACCTTTCTGCTTAATGAGCCTTGTCCCACTCATCTGATTCTTCTTCTGTCTCATGTATCTCTTGATACTTGGTTAAATAAAAGATACTGTGCAACATAAACAATCATCTAGTACACATGAAAATGGAGAGTCTTCATCTAGGTGCCATGTGGAAAATGAATGATTAAACTAAGGACTGTAATACATCTTGGGTATTTGTCCATTTTGATGATGTTTTCATTTTGTTTAGAATCTTCAGCTCGATGAAGAAGCCCAGTACCAAAATGCAGTTCAAGAATCCTGTCATGTGAACTTTTAAAGTATATCCCCCTTCATCTTACTCATTATCTGAGAGAAAAATTACATTAATTCTGTTGGCGATCTGAAGTGTATATTGGTAAAAATGGTATTCAGTAACCACTTTTCAGGCTTAACTTTTTTCCATGCTCATAAGGACTTTTCATAAACGATTTTGCTGAAACTCAAACTTGACATCTTTACTGAGATCTTGTCCCTATGGAAGTAGGGGCCTTTTTGAAACTTCTCACTGCTGTCTTGATTTTTCTCTAACTTTTACTACTCTGTTAATTACAGCATTTCTTTTATTAATGTCAGCTATTTTATTTCACCAAAACCAACTTTGAAAGTATCTTTAGAAAGACATGCAAAGATGCTGTGTTGCACTGTTGAGATTCTTTAAGTTCAGCTGTCATCTGCTAAGATACCGCTGAGATGATAATTTTTGTCTCTCCTCCTGCCCAAGGACAAAGTTTTATTTGATGTTGTGATTTGTTTTTTACCATTACTATGTGAATGAAAATAACAACTTAAGAAATAAAAATATTTGTTTTCTGTAGATTAACAATGCAGAGCAGGTTTTCTTTTTACCTTTCATTGAGAAAGAATGATGCCATTGCCTAGGAATAATTACATCTATTTTTTCCCCTTTTGGAGCATAACTGAAATAGGACACTTGCTTACTAAAGTGATGAGTGAGGAGTTTTCCCTGTACTCCCAACTGCTAAAGAAGATGACATACTTTCTGAACAATCCAAGATGACATGCAAAAGGTATTCTTTTTCAGTATGTGACTGTGACCGTGACCAGCTATTTTTTCATTTTGTTGGAGATTTTTTAGAACTTCTGTTGTTGCATTTGGACTTCAAGTTTTGGTCTGTCCTGCCTTTCATGAAAGGCTGTGTAACTAGAGAACTACTTGGCTTCAGACTTACCAACAGTCAGAAATTAATTTGTTTATTTTGGTAAGACTGTTTAAAACTTGGACATCTCCTGCATCCAAAGGCTTGAAAAAACAGTTGAGAAGAAAAACTTGCTCTAGAATAGTTGCCAACATATTTTAAGAGTTCCTATTGCAGATTTCCACATTCCTAGCAAGACTGTCATTAAAATCAGAGAAAACAAAGCAATAATGCAATTTTGATTTTAAATGGAAAATCCATTTATAAAAGAACTTTAAAGTCTTTTATATAATACTGATGGGGAGAAGGGAAAAAAAAGCTGCACCGCTTATATTTTGGAGGTTTAAATAGAGACTGTTCAGAATGTATGCTTTTTAGGACTGACTCTTCATCCTGTGTTGCCATTGCCCATTGTTATACTATTGTTCTTAATGGGTAATGTCTATGTGGTGGAAGACATCCACAGTAGTTTTCCTAGTTGGTGATTTATGTGTAATAATAAGAGTTGTGCAGCTGGTGTACAATCTGTTTCTTGTGCCCTGGCTCCCACTTGCTCTCCAAATACAGGTTTTGATCATTCTTTAAATACTTGCTATTTCTTATTCCAAAACTGGTAAGGTTGAAATGCCTCGTTCTGCAACGTAATGGGTTTCAGTTCTGAATCTTAGTTCTAATATGTTGACTGTTGAACTAAAACACTATGCGCTGTAACTCGGTGTTTCTATCTTCTATTTTTTAAGAGTGTAAAGCATTACTGAAGGAATAGCTGGCTACAAGACAGAGAAAGTTGGCTATTTCAGAAACATCTAAAGGTTATATCCTTTTTATAACAATTTAACATGTCTTGCATTTTGTTACTGGCTTAATACAACATTTTGACAGCAGGCCATGCTTTGATCTTGTACTCCAACTTCCCTGTTTGCCCCCTGTACTCATGCTTGTGTATTTTCACTCACCTGTCAGCTCTAGTGCTTTTGTGATCATATACTGATTTGGAGTGGTTCACTGGTCCAACTGAAAAGGTTGTTCGGATTTTTACTTTCCCTTTTGCTCTATAACACCAACTATGAAATAGTGCCCTTAGACAGAAAGTAATTTAAAAGTAGCCTGATGCTAAAGTTTTAGCTTTTTAAAATAAAAACGCATACCATGGTGATTATATTACTGCATACTTTTCCGAAGGAATTTAGTAGTTACATATAAGTTTAGTTAACTTTTTTAGATTCAATAAAATATTTATATGATCTGGCAATAAATGCCTACAGCCAATACAGATTCAGAATGCCTCATGGACACTGGAACTAGTTATTTCTATTACTTGAACATACCTTGAGCATTTCAAATGAAACTACATCTATTTTAAAACTCTGGGGAACAAATTTTTCTATAGCAATAATTAGTTGTCACTTGATGCATAGTTGCTGAGCATTTTAGTCATGTTTAAATGTTGAGTGACTTGAATACACATTTTAAAGCAACGAATGTGTATACATGCAATATTAAAAAAACCTTGCAAAACGTTTATCCTCTTTATTTGTATACGTTAAAATCTGTATTGGCAGGTGCTGCCTTGCTTAAGATTTTATACTTTTAATATGAAGAAATTGCATCCAATACATTCACTAGGTAAGCGTTTAATGAAAATTCAACAATCTATTTAAGTATGCTGTTGCTGGTCATGATCTTTCTCACTGAAACTCAGACATGCACAAAAAGCTGTGTATTTGTGATGGGTGATGCTTGTACTCAAAACATGCAATCTTTACTAGAAGATTGCTGTTTAACAGTGTTTTCATGTTCATGTTGCATTGTGTATGGTTTCAATATGGTATATTATGTTTGAATTGTACTTTCTATTTTTTCTCCTATTAAAGTATTTTATTTTCTGTTTGTCTTTTTGTTGCATAATAAAGGTGATCAGTCCCTGTGCTGCTACTTCTTCCTTTTCAGATGCTTTCTAAACTGAAGTACTCGGTCGGTTGCATGCTTTCACACTTCAAGTTGTTTGAATGGTGCGTACAGTGCTTGAACCAATGACTTGTGGCTTATGATCCATTCATGAGCTGACAACTTACCTTATATCACATCTTAATATCTTTCCATGAGGCAGAAAAGATGATAGGTTGGCCAAAACTTACTTTGTGCTTCTTTTCTCCCTTCCACGTTTGTATGTTTCTGTCCCATATATTGTTACTGGAGAAATAACATCCTAAAAGGAGAGGGAAAGAGGTATGTAACACTCAGGGCCAATAGCAAACCTTGTTATTTAAAGGTAGATTTACTGAGAAGAGTTAATGGCTTTCTGATGAAAGAATTGGCAATAACTTTGGGCTGGTTGCATTATTATACCAGCAAAGTGGCATCTAGATGATTTATCCTTCTACCCTGTATTTCTGTGCTGAAAACCCCCGTGGTTATTTCTTGTGCTTTTACTTTCTAAGGACATACAGATGATAATATGGTTATGAACTTGACTTCATGTCTTATTTTGAATGATCGAAAGATAGCAAAATTAAGTAATTTTACTTTTTATTAGTTTATTGTTCTTTCCCCTTAGGATCTAGTTTTCTGAGCTCCAAATAAATCACTGTATTTCCCAAAACTGGTTATAAGCCCTTTGTTAGAGATTCCATTGTATTTTCTTTTATTACAGCAATGCATATTTCATTAGACAGAATGTATTGAATGTGTTTAATTCTCATTGACAATGTGTTGGTTATAGGATGCATGAGTTCTGTAGAACTCCCCTTTGTCCTGCTCCAGTCCGAAGCCAGGGCTTCATTCCCAGCGGGAGAGGGAGACTTTGGTGCACTCAGGTCCCCTGACAGGTAGTCAGGGCCAGAAGGTTTTCTGGATTTTGGAAGCATTCCTGGCTCCCTCTTTTTAGATGTGGCTTTTGAGTCTGGAGAGATTTGAACACAAGTGTCTGTGAGGACTCTGCTATAAGAGAGTAGGGCTAGTATAGTTTTTATATCCTTTGTTTTATGCAGAAACAGACACACTAATCCATGGATGCTCTTAAGGGATGTGTATTTTACTATGTCTTGTAAACACTGTGCCATTTGTGAAATGACTGCAGAACCTGGCAGCCGATGTTGTCTTATGGCAGGCACGCAGAGCTACAAGAATATCTGACAAAAGCATTTTCAGGTTTATTTTAGAATTGAAGAAACCAGCAGTGAAAGGGCACAAACGCGACATAGTCGGTTCTCCATACAGTGAACATACATAAATATACTTGATCTAGATACCGTGTTTCTTTTGTGTCCTGTTGTGGGTATGTTTGAAAACATGTAGGAGATAAAATTCAGGGCCTTTAGTATGAGAAGGTTTTTCAATAATGTTAAAATTGCCACTTACTAGTGAATTACTGGACTCCTACTAGGGTCAAAGTGGGCTCCCCCCCCCCCCCCCCCCCCCCCCGATTAAAGTAGGTCTGTACTGTTTCTTACCCTCCTCAAACTCTGTAGGTCTGCTTTGGGAAGGACCGGTTTTCACCTCTTCATTTTCCAGCCCTAACCAGCCTTATCCTACCTGTAACTTTCTCTTTTCTATCTGCTGCCCCCCCCCCCTTGTATCTCGGTGGACATGATCAGGAAAGAGCTACAAAATTAAATTTTATGTTTATTCCCCTACCTTTCCCCAAGCTGTTAGGAAATTCGTGGGAGGGAGGGAAGTCATCACTGCCAAATGCATTCTGTAGAAAGCATTTTATTCCATTTTACATCTTTGCCTTAAATGCTCTGCATACATTTAGGATGCATTCTTCAGCTCCATGAAGCTGTAGGACATTTCCCAGGGCTTAGCGACAGAATACTGTTTTTATGAGCTTGCTTAAGCTTATGAGGGTGCTTAGTCACTGAGAAAAGTGTTCCTCACTATTGCTTTACATTCTTTCTCTGCTCTAGTGTTTCTGTCTCTTTTTTTCATAAAGGTTTGGGTTGGAAAGGACCTTAAAGACCATCTAGTTCCAGCCCCACTGCCCGGGGCAGGGCCGTCTTCCCCCAGCCCAGGGGGCTCCCAGCCCCGTCCAACCTGGCCTTGAACCCTTCCAGGGAGGGGGCAGCCACAGCTGCTCTGGGCCTCACCCCCCATATTCCTCTGTATTTATTGCCCTACAGCAATTCTCATAAATTTATGCTGGTTCCCTCCCACTCCACCTTCTGTCTTTTAAAGCAATCAGCAATTGAATAGCTAAGATTACATTACTTAGCTACTAAGTATCGTTTCATATTCTGTGTTTCATAAGCTTTTCTGGCTGTGTCCTCAATATCTTGGGGCTGATGTGGGCCTCAGGGGTAAATACAGTAACTAAGAAATTTAGCATCAATAATCCAGAGTTCGCCTGCCATGTTTACTTCTATGGCTGGAGGAGTTTATATTTCTCAGAATGTGTTTACAGTTTGAAAGAATCTGAAAGTCTTACTAGTCAGATTTTATTGTTTTTAAATGCTTTTTAAAGCATTTACTTTGTTGTTTTCTTTAGGGGGAGGAACTTTTTTGGATTGGAGAGATTAAGATGTTTGAAATCAAAACCTTCTCATTCAGATCAGTTCCTTAATGGTAATAGGCACTTGTTTTTCAGAAAGCCTTGCATTAGATTCTCTGTTTTTGCAAGTATGGACAGAAGACGGTAGGAAGTTGGTGGCTTTTTTTTTTTTTTTTTTACCCCAGGGTAACAGCCGTGGCACTAGTGTCGCAGAGGGTGTGATTTATGTGCCACCTCAGTTGTGAGACTGTTAGAACTTAAGTAGTTTTTCTTACAAATTTTTCATCATTCAAACCACAAGAGGGCACTGAATATTTTTGGGTCGTGTCTAAATAAGTATGGTGTTTAAGGATGCTAATTCACTAAGTAGTTGTACTGCAAAACGCTTTTAGATTATGGGATTTCCACCCAGATGTTTCATAAAATGTACCAAGTCTTTTATATGTTTTAGGGGTTAGGAGACTGGTGGGGGTCATTCCAGTCCACAGCAAGAATATTTCTAACTTGCTGTAAGTTTGAGGTGTTACTCGTGTGCTTCCCCACCCGGGGCAAGCAAGCCGTGTTCGCCCAGGACCCCGCTGAGCGCTCCCCGTCTCGCGAGTGAACCTGAATCGTAACGTCTTCGTGGAAACTCCCATTTGCTGGCCAGACCTTTCCTTCCCCGAAGGGGCTCCTCGGGGCCCCCCCTCGCAGCCAGGGCGCTGCAGTGCTCCCGGGGGTCACACGGGGGCACCTGAGGACTGTCGCATCCCGCGGCAACCCGCCGTGGGGCTTGGCTGGCGTGTCACCGCTGCCTTTCCGAAACTCCACGCGTGTCAGCGGCCCCGCTAATCGCGTTTCCCAGCCGCTGCGGTGAGGGGGTCTGCCTGGTGCCAAGGACAGGAACGCCTCAATATCCCTTCCTACCGCTTAGGTCCTTCCAGTTGTTCTCTGGCTGGACACAATAACTTGGGGTTGCTACAAGGCCTCTGGAACGAAGAGAGAAAATCTTCCAGCTAAGGCTCGTGCCCCATCACCTGAGAGAGAACCAAGCAGCCCTGGAATATCCTTCTGGAGTGGCGCGATCCTGGCCAGCTACAGCCGCCTTTGTAGCCGCGTATCAGTCGCAGTTTGTTTCACGGTGTAATCTGATTCATAGTTACCGTAAAATCTGTTTGTGTAAAAACATGTCAGACATGATTCAGATTCCCGTGAAAGTAGGAGAGGTGTAATCCTGTATGAGTAATTATTTAATTTGTGAAAGATTCTTTTCTCACATGAAAGAAAAGGTAGAGGTTCAAGTACCTGTCTGAAGTGGCAGTGGGCAGGGTGAGATGTAACATTATACACCCAAGCTTCTGCTGTTTGCTTTTTAATCTTGCTTTTTAATTTACCTGTAGCTAAGCAGTGCAAAAAAACCTGAAGGTCTGCTTCGTTTTCTTGATAACTTAATCAAAGCAAACATGTCTGGTTTGCTCCTCTGCAAGAAGATGGAATGCTTGTATTTCATATCTGTTGTAATTTTCACTTTCTTACGTTATTTTCCATGTGACACCTGCTGGGTTTGTAAACATTGGTGTTTCCTAACTTGAAATACTTAGGGATTCAACTTGAAACATTTTGGATTTGACTGAGGGTCTCTTATCTTGCAGGTTTATCTGACAGGCCTTATCTTCATCGGTGCTTTTGCCTCATCAGCCAATGAGTTGCAGTGCTATCCCTGTTTGGGAGATTAACTGAAAAAGTAAAACTAATTTGTGCAAGATAATGCAGGAAGCTTGAGGCGGGGGAAGGAGCAATCCACTAGCTGAGAATAATGGGCCATCTGAATATCCTTTTACTCTAACATTTGGTCTATAAGCACTGCTAAATGGGGTACATAAAACTCTACAAGCCATCGCTTTTCAAGGTTATTTAATGATTTCATATCACTTGAAGTTGACACTGAAACTATGATCAGTCAGGTTCCACCCAAATGTCAGCAAGCAACCATGAATCACCATTGTTTGCTGAGCAGTATGCTGATAGCAGAGTTATCAAAGCATCAGTGCTGAAATACAGAAGATCAACAAAACTATTAAAACGTGAAACTACCTACCAAAAATGCTAGAAAATCACTATCCACGTAGAGTTATTTTTAACTGTTTTTACGGTTCTCTGTAGTTAGCTGACATTGCGTTTTGAAATGAAGTTTCTTTGGCTTTTAAAAAGAGCATGCTCACTCTCCTGTACTTCACTCATTTTTTTCCAATCTCTCTGCCTCCATTACTGTCTTTTCCCAGATTATTATCCGCGGACGTAGCTTTACGAAGAAGACTAAAGCAGGTGATGTTTCCCATCCATGTTGGACAATGCCCGAGGAACATTCCTTCTTCGGCAGCAAGGCAGTGGATGAGCACTGCAGTATTATTATTACCTGTGCTGCAGAAGCACCCATGGGCAACAGTGCTACCGAGCAGACAGAAAGAGACGGTGCCCGTCGAAGGGAACCCGCCGTCTGCTCCGTGGGGCTCCCCGTCTGCCCGGTGCTAGCGAAGTGAACTCGGCAGGAGATCCAAGTGGTCACTGCAATAGATCTGCAGCTAGCTCCACGTCAAGTTCTGATGTCTCTGTTGCTTCTACTAGCAGCATGGAAGCATGTGGGTCTATGGGGAAAGAAATGTAATTGACTGGCAAAAGGTCAGATTTTGTAGGTGTCTCTTACAATTGCTCAGGGCTCATTAGATAGCTTAGAACCCATAAAAGTTGTGAAACGTGTTCAAGGCAAAGAATTGCAAGAAAGGAAAAAAACGATCAACCAGCTAAAGACCTGCTCCTTCTGCTTTGTGTTTAATGTTTTCACTTTTCCTCAAATACAGAGTTTGTAGTCAGGACACTGATGGACTCTACTTGCAGATCAAAATGGTAATGGAAATGACATCCTCAAATTCCACAGGTCCCTGACTGTATCAAGAAAGGACATTTGGCTGTTATATGCCAAGTAAATGTAGAATAAAGACAAGATTGAAGACTGCTGTTCTTTTTCTACATCTGAAAGTGAACACTGTCTATTCAAATAAGTTGCACTATCCTTTATTAATTAATCTCCAGTAACGCTTAGTTATTCCTTGCTGTGGGACTTGGCCTTAGAAGTATGATATGGCTATAGTGCTTTTAATGTTCAAAGAAAAATGCAAGGAGTTTTATAACAAAACCCTTAAGGAGAATAGGAGGTAGGTATATTGCCTGAACATAGATAGTAAGTCAGTGGTAAAGCAAGATGTTTGTCATTGTAGAGAGTGTGGTCACAATAGTAGATAAGCTCTGTAGAAAAGATCTTCCAAAAAAAATTCCCTAAGACTGTGGCTGACATGCGGAATAATGACTTTACAACCAGTAAGGTTATAAAGAAGGTATGTTTATTCAGTGCTGGGTGCACGGGGGATCACTCCTCTACAAGTGTGCACCCTTGGAGCAAAAAGTGGCTCCTTTTTATTACATAGAACGTTACATATTCATTGCAATTCTGGGAATAGGGAGGGAATATTACAATTAGTTCTGAGAAATCATTAACATATCGGCGCAGGATTTCCCCAGCTACAGCCTCGGCTCTCAGTGCCCATCCAACCCACAGAACCAACCCTCCCCTAGCAACTCCCATGTTATCAGATAAACGGCATGTCTCAACAAATAATTGGCATGTCCTAACAAACAAAGGATGCGTTTTAACAAACAGTCTTACCAGACAAACGGCATGTCTCAACCCCCGGGTGCTGGTTCCTCTCCGTCAGTCATCTCTTTATTACTTTCTCCTCAACAAGTACGAAGAAAACATTTACCTACTTCATGGATGACACTGAATTTTATGCCAAGAAATTCTGCCTCAGAAGTCCTGAAATTCCATTGTTCACGTATTGTTTACTTTTCTATTGTGTCTTGTTTTATTATACCAGATGACTGCTTGAGGTGTCAAAACTCTGAGTTTAATTAATTAAAAAGCAGTGTGAATTGGAGAAAAAATGTGTATAGGGACTGTATTTTACAAAGAAGGGTTAGCATATAACTTTGATGCCTTCTCTGTTTGGTGTTACACCTTTTAGTGTTTTCTCTGGGTAACTCACTTTTTTAGCCAGTCCTGAGAGCAGCAATGGTCATGACACAGAGGTTCATACAGCCCTTCTTTGTGACAGGAAAATCATCCTCTTATCTCCTATTGTGAAGAGGTTGGTGTGAGGTCTCAGTGCTGGTTGATGTATCTTAGAAGTGAGCATGTGGGAACAAAGAGCAGATTCTCTTGTTTATTTGCACGTAAAAGGGACCAAAGAAGTAGAAAGCCAAGCCTTTAGGCTTTCTTCCAACAGCAAGTGGTAAGACTAAAAAATGTGCTGTTTCCTTTGAGTTCCTCATATTTCACCATCTCAAGAAAACACCTGTAAGGTACTGTAATCAAGGAATAATGGATACAGCTATATCAGTCTTTTAGTTTTGATCAGGGGTGTACTTTTTAAGCAAGTGTCACCGTCATAATTTTCACTTACCGTGCTTTAGTTCACATTATAGAGCAGCTTTGGAGTGTCCGAATTGTATTCCTGTGGTTTGAAGCTTAGTCAGAATACGTTCTTCAGATCCCTGCCTAATGCAGTCCAGTGGCCACCACTGATGTCCAGTCCTTGGGATCAAATCGGAGCCAGTCGGAAGTAAAACCCTTTGAGACATGTACAGCATAGATGCCAGGTCCGTGGCACTGCATGTTTCAATGTATGGATCTGTTCCAGCTTGTTCAAAGTACTTGTTACTGCAGACACAGCCAGTCTGACCTAGAGAGCCTCCAAAAGGAGAACTGCCATCATCTCCCAGGAGATGAAGATGACAGTGTGCAAAATTCAATGACTGCTGATCTTGCAGAAGAAATCTTGATAAAAGAGCTTTCCAACCTTCCAAATGTCACTGATTTGAGAACAGGTGACACCAATGTTATGATGGGTTGAGGATTACAATAGTTATTGTTACTTTTGTAGAAAAAAATAACATAAGAGCAACAATTCCACAGCTGCTACCTCTCAATGGATCAGCAATTAAATAAGTGTGGATCTGAGTGCCTAGAAATTGCTCAGGTGTCCTCATTACCCATTCTTTCTTACCAGCTCTGATACTTGAAATAGTAGGAGAAACATTATTACTTTTAATACAATAATTTGGGACTCTGTATTTACAATACAAAATATAAATGCCATTTTTAGTTTTTATGACATTCTAACCAGGTAGTTGGTCTGGGAAAGTGAAAAGTTAGCCAAGTCTGATCATGCGAGTACCTTCAGTTTAAGTGCAGGAAGAAACTGTGGCAATTCCAGCCCTCTCTAGCAGCTAGTAAGCAGAAGAGATGACTGAAGCTGGAAGAAACTAAAACTCCAAAGAGTCATGGACAGTGGTGATAGTACAGTGGCACTAACATTAAAAGAAATTATTTTGTACAGAATTTTAAATAGTCCAGAATACCATGATGTGATTTACTGACAAATACAGTGTTTCACATTCATCAACAATAGAAATGACACTGCCTTTTCTAAAAGCGAAGTACTGAAATTATGTTGCTGAGAGATTTATTTTAGGTGCACACATTTCCAATTTTCACTTTCTGTCAAAACCCCCACATTTATTAATTTATTTATGTCTTATCTGCCCAGAGTCTTTTTAGCTTTCAACTGTTCAAAAGGATTTAGTGTCAGCTTTATTCACTGAATCACACAGGATGGTTGGGGTGGGAGAGCATCTCTGGAGACCACCTAGTCCAACCCCCTTTCACCTGCAACAGGTTGCTCAGGGCTTTGGCTGGTTGGGCTTTCATTGTCTCCAAGGGTGGAGACAACTTCTCTGGGAAACTTCTGGCACTTAAAAACCCTCAGAATAAAAAAAAGTTCTCTTATTTTTCTCAGAATAAAAAAGGTTCTCTTATTTTTAAACAGAATTTCCTGTATTTCAGCATGTCAGTTTCCTCTGTATTTCCCTTTTCTTGTGTCTATTTCATCCTGTGTGTCAATTTGTGTCCAATACTTTTTCTCACAACAATGCTTAAAAATTAGTGTATATTTTAGTTATTGTAATACAGTAATGGTGGACTTTGGTTACTAGACAATAAAAAGGTAGGTAAGTTAATTGTTGATGAAAGGACAAAGGTTTTGTTTTATGACATTTACTGTCTTAAGTACCAACTTGGTCTGAAATTCTGTCCATGAAACTGCTGACTGGATGACAACATGGGCTGGTTTTCTGTGGCTGCTCTCCTAACCTGGCTTCTTCTTCAGATGGTCTGGAGTCAGGTAAGAAAGCAAAGAATGTGTGTCCTTTATATGACTGAGTAAACAATGCAGCTTAAGGTGAGCTTGAGAGGAAAATACTTAAGTATGTTGCTTTTGTAAAATAAGAATTCTCTTGTCGTCTGCATGGAAGAGAGGGAATGATTTCTCTTTCCTCAGGGTCTTAGTGCTGCTATTTGCAATAGGCCTGGCTAGACTTTGGAAGGTCTTATCTTACACTCCCCATCTAAGCAACATGTCCACTAGTACTCAAAGTAATGTTACCAGAATGACAAATCTGGGGTTAGAACCAAGATAAGTATTACTATTTTACTACTCCATATTTGAAAGGAAATAAGATTTTTTTTTTTTTTTTGCTATAACACAATATAGTTGATATTGAAATTGATGCCTTTTTAGCCACTAGATATAATTGTAAATGACTGTTCTCTGTTCCTCCAATCCAGCTGAACTACTTAATGCCAAAAAAGTAACCGCTGAGATTTTGTATTTCCTGTCTTTTGTAGAGAAATGGAACATTTTGCTCATCTTGTAATAATTTATTGTAGAGATCAGGAATTTTGGTGATATACTATATAGCCATTTTGGAGAACAAAAAACAGTAGGTTGTTGAAAGTTCATTTCAGCTGTCCATAGCTTCAGGGTAATCTATAGAGTAAGGGATTACTTACTGTTATATTATTTAATTGGAATAACGTTATCTATTTTATGTTATGTAACATAACTGTCTGATTCTATGAATCCAGCTCCAATATATCACTGTGGTAACCATATCCTCTTCCTCTCCACTAACTCGTACATCTTCCAAAGTCAAGAGCTCAATCTCATGTCCCCAACTTTCCCACAGTCCTCCTGTATCCCCCACTACCCCAACCCCACACTTCCCTTGTATTTCTGCTGCCTATTATGACTACCAGTTCCTCTATCCCCAACCTTCTGGAAATTCACATTTCAGCCTTGTTTAGATTCCTCTACAGGCTTTGGTAATGATGCAGACTGCTGCTAACATCTACTAGTTATCACACATCAAACCGACTCATAATAACCAGCTCTTGTGTGAGAGAGGGACTTCCAATCACCAAACCTAATTATTTAATTTCCATGTGCCTTATGGCCAGGAAGAGATTCTTTTGTATTTCTGTATGCCAGTACTAGAAGTTATATAGTCTAGAGAAAGCACTGATAAGTTAGGGTGTCTCATCTAAACTGGCTGGCTGTACTCCATCTGAAGTCCATGGTGAGACAGGGAAATTTCCATCAGGTGGTTTATCACGTCCTTGAATAGCTGTCCAAGCTAGGTGAGGTGGATCATCTTCTGGAGATGCTAAGGCATCATGGTGGTGCCATAGCTATTTTATGGCCACATGAATTATATATGCAATTACTCATTCGTTTCTCCACTGATTACTGAGTGAGTTTACTTACCTAGTTTTTATGTGGCTAAAATAGGTGAGATGTTTCCCATCTATTCAAGATGCACTTGAATTATTTGCCAGTTAAATGTGCTCACAAGCTGCGGTTTGACGAACCTTTAATATTACTTAATTCACATAAACCACGTTTGCCAAAGTTAGGGACTAACATAATTGTTCAGAATTTTTTTTGCGTGCAGATTTAAAAGTATCATTGATTAGACTAAACACGATTCCTCTTTGTTACACTGCCGGTAACATAACCTTGCTCTGTATGTGACTGTGAACTGTGAATCTTGTTTATTTACAAATTATCAGAGACTAGAAATGCATCATATAGGTTTCAGTTGTCAGGCTGGTATTGAGATGGAAGCTGTCGCTACTCAAATGAGTAATACTTGTACACAGAGATACTCCTTTTGAAACTGAGTATTTTGCTGTTGACATTCACAGGACTAAAGGCCTAGTTTTGTTGAGAAGGAAGGAAAGGAGTGATGAAAGGGATTCCTCCAGTGTAAAATATTCAGCGGCAGTTTTCAGACACTGAGGACCAGCCTGGATTTCAGACAACTGCTGAATTTGGTATTCTTTAGTCATGGACTTGTGTTTTGGTTTATGTACCAAAAGTGCTGCTGGATTTAGCTACATTGATTTCAGTTTGTGAGCTTTTGCTGCTGATAGGGGAGCTTTTCCATGAGCTAGCCAGTTTTTAGCTTTGGCACAGTTATACTTTCTGGTTAGTTGATATGAGTATATAGTACTTTATAATGACTGAAACTGCAGAAACATTTTACTCTCCATTAATGGTTGTAAGAGGATTCAACATATGTAGGTATGTTTCTTCTCCTCCATCAACAATCTTTAACAGAAAAGATGATAACGTGAATTTAATTTTTGAATGTTGCAAACTTCCCTTCTCATTTTTTCTTTCACGTTAGCTAGAAATCTGTGTGAGAGCAGGAGTTTAAAACCAATTAAGTCTTCAAAATGTGTGTTACATACTTTGCCCATGTACTTTCAGCTTGCTTTACAAGCTGCACTTTCATTTCGAAACTTGAATACATGGTCTGGATACTGTCCTATGCATATCCAGTGATAATGAAACGCAATGAGAGGATATATGTGCAATAAAACTTCAGAATGTAAGAGGAGTCTATTGACATTGCAGATTTATGGATGATTTGTGTGGAAAGGATATTTTGGTTTATTAAACTGTATTGTATACAGTTGTATGCTTATTCTTTTTTTCTGAAGTCCCCATCCTCATTTCTCATGTATCAATGCAAACCTGAATAATACCAGTTATAATACCAGTTAACTCAGTGAAATGTGAGATCAAAATCAATCCTTCAGTATTTGCATCTGTCCCAGTCTGGAAACAGTTTTTCAATGGCCTTGGTCACTTTTCCACAATGCCACTGGGTTTTTAAGAGTCGGGTGTCTTAAAATCTACCAAATTTTGAAACAACCTAGAACTGTGAAGTACAGAAACAGGGCTGTTTCAGGGGAAATCAGATCAGGAAACAATTTCTACACAATGCTTTTTGTAACTGACACTTCAAGGAAAAAATCCTGCCTTTAGACTGGGCAAGGACGTATGTGGGTGGCGGTTCTCATTAAGAAAATTAAGAAGCAGGAGGCAAACTTAGTTAAAAACTTTGCTTGTTTATATAACATTTAGATATTAAGCACTTGATTATTCCAGCTCATACCCAATTAGTCGTTATCACTCTTAAACCTATAAATTATAGCTTCTACTTGGTTACACAAAAAATATTTTTTCCCTCTTAGGCAATCAAAATAAATGATAAAAATCTGACAAAAACTGTGAAGCAACGGTTTGAATAAATTTTAATTCAAGTGAATCAAAACAGTAAAATGAGATTTTTGTATTTACAATATTTTTTTTTCTGCCATTTGCTGAAGTTTTCACAAGACAGTAATTTCAGATTGAGAATTAATCTTTCATTAAAAAGCTAAAATAAGGCATTCTGACAATTTAAAATCTTTCTTTCTGAATCTTTTCCAAATTAAGAAATTTCAATTAAGTTTTGGTTTTTTTTTTTTTTTTGTTTTGTTTTGTTTTTGTTTTCCTGCATTTGGTTAAAGTTTTTATATGAATGACATCAGTTTTAGGGCCCACAGCTATGTTTGTCTTCAAAATTGTTCCCATTATTATGTGCCAAAAGTCAGGTCTAGAAGAACATGTGCATTTGAATCTCTCTTGAATATTCTGGCCACACTGTATTCTCATCCATCATGCAGATGGTAAAAATTGCCAAAAACTAATATTCTACTGGACTGTATGTACTAGATTTTTGCTGTTTTTCAGCATTCTGATCTTGTACTGTTTATTGCTTCTACTGGGGGTTGCAGATACCTATCACACTAGACAAATAAACCCCACATGCAAAACTGCACGTATGGAAGATAGCAAATTATTTATATGGAGAAAGAAAAACAGTTGAGTGGGGCAGAGAACTGTAGTAAAAATAAAAGTAAAAATTCCACCCTGATTTGCAGAATTGCTGTTTCATATTACCATTTTCTCTATCTGTAACCTATGTCGTCAGAGCTTAGAATTTAAGGGTGTTTTTTACCTTCAGTTTGTGAACTTCTTTTCAAACACACGAATACAAGACTTCTGGTGAGAAACAGGAAAACCCAACAATTACTTAGGAGGGCTGTTCACAATTTTACTCACTATGTGAGAAATAGTTGTGTAATGTTATGTCAAGTATGTCCAAGCCATCCAAAATCAAGTGTCTAGTCCAATAAAGGAATATAGGTTATATTCTATAGACATGCTATGTCAAGGGAGTGGGCTAATTATATCTCTTCGTATCTCATTATGGACTGTGGATTTTACATGTCTCAGAAAGAGTCTTTGAGTTGGTATTGCTTAGGTAGATGGAGCCCGGCTAAGGCACTGAGCTGGGGTTGGGGTGACCTGGACTCTGCGCCCAGTCCTTCAAAGACTTGCTGCATGGCGCCAGACCATTCGTTCTCTTCTCCCATCTTCAGCTTGATGATGGAAAGTTAAGCGTAACTTTCATAGCTTCTGTACAGCTCCTGACTAGTAGCAATACTTGATTTCACAGAAATAATAGGCTCTTTTTTCCTGTTTGTGAAGGACCATTCTGCACTGCCTGAGTTGTGAGAGAAAAATGGTTGTGAAAACTTCACAGTACTGGGCGACTGACTTGTTGGGCAGCCTGAAGTGGGGAGGACACAAAGATGACACATAAGCAAATAAACATTTCCACTCAAATGAGGAGGCAGTGGGTCCAGTCAATCCAATACAAAGCCATGTGCTAAGTGCTGTTAGTGAGCTTAAATCGCATCTCTAATACTGTTGAGAGGGTAATGTGAGCTGCATTTCATTATGTGCCTTTCTAATAATATCTTTTTTTCTTCCTCCTCCCCAGCCTGCTCCAGAGACAACTGGTGAGTTCTGTTTAGAGATCTATTTGTATGCACGGGAGGCAGTCAACAAAACCAGCTGCTCATAAACATCTCTAGGACAGACACAGATTTATAATTACTGTTATTGCATTAATTTTCACACTTCATAAAGATAACAGCAAGGGCTAATGTCCGACCTCACTTGTCTTTTTATTTTTCAGAAATAGATGTAGATGGAGGAATTGATCAAGACATCTTTGACATCAATGAAGGTTTTTTAAAATTCAGTTTCTTTTTAAATTTTTTGTTGTGATTTTCACTGAAGTAGCCACAGATCAATACAACAACTGAATGTTAATCTCCTCTTCCCCTTAGCTTTAGGACTAGACCTTTTTGAAGGAGACATCAAACTTGACAGGGTGAGTTCAAATATAAAATATAAAACAAGAAATGTGTCACTGTCTCATGCAAAGTATCGCTGGCATGGAAATGATTGATGCATCCTGCTCCTACCAACAATATATGCTGTTTATGTAACAATAAACTGAAAAAGTTTGGAGATGGTTTTCCACAAAACTTCACAGGCAATGAAGGAGTTGGGTACATCTGAAGAAACATTATCCAAAATAATTTCAGTTTAGCCATTAGATCAATATTATTAACTTATTGTTTCCTTTACTGTTTTTTATATATTTGAACTTTTAAGAGATTCAGCAGCACTGATCTTCTTCTGGACAGGTCTATATAAACGATTCTTCATTTAACTGTACAATATTTATTATGAACCAATTAAATTTACAGACCAGTGCTGCAAAACCTTCATCATGTAAGTAAATAATTACATAATGAGTTACATCTCAAAAATCCCTAGTAGAAACCCCCAAAGTGTCTTGTACTCCTGGAAGTCAATAGCGGTTTATTCTCCCCCCTGGTGAGCTGCTTTGGCCTGAACGTATCAGTGGAAGCAAGGACAGCACTTGCTAAGGGTGCAGGAACAAACACTTGCATCATGAAAGATTACAAAATTATTAATCTCTGAATAGTTTTCAGGACTTTAGATCTTAATGCTTCCCACAGGATCTGAAGCTCTTCTCACACATGTATAAAAATCTCAGGTAATTTCTATGGGGAAAACGCTGCAGAAGTTGGAGATGCTGGTAGAAGGGAGTAAGGGGATTTCAAACCCAAGACTTAGACCGCTGAGTGATCTTCCAAACTTTTTGAGCTCTTTGTTTTCCTATACCTTACATGGACTTGTAGGAAACATGCTTTGCTTTAGCACTGTTGTAGTCCCTGATCCTAAATCACTTTTTACTGAGGACTGCATACTTATTTTCTCTCTGTGATGCAGGAACGGAACGCCATCATTGGTGACAATTATCTGTGGCCCCATGTTATCCCCTACGTCCTTGATGATAGCCTGGGTACAGTATTTGCTCTTGACAGTGTCTGTATGTCATGTTGATTGAAATGTTAAATTCAGGTTGATAAAGATACGGCAGCATCCTTTCCTCTGTAAGTTTAGAGCAGGCTGTCTTCCACAGCAGGATTGGGCCTGGCTATGCACAAGCAGGGTATATCGTGTTGGTGCTGGCTCTCACCTCCTTTTTTGGATAGTTCTTACCCTGCCATTGCTATGGCCCAGCAGATTCATTTGGTTTTAAAAGCAGATGTCTGAGACATGAAACTCTAGCAAGCAGAAGAAAAAACAGGGCACTGAAGACCTTTTTAAAGCCAGGAAGCTTACTGGGCCATTTATATCATCTACAGCACTGATGGCAATTTGACATTCTAGCAGACAAAGCAGTTTCCAATGGCACGTTGCTGAGTCCCCTAATGTGGACCAGGGACACAGCATAGTTTGTCCCCATCCCTTTGAATCCACCCAGTTGTGGGTCTGCACAACAGAGGCGAGTGGTGAGACAGGGAACTTGAGTTCTTACTGCATACCCCGTGGGGAGATGGTGTCCTCACTGCACAGTGTCAGGTCATCTTTCTGGTACATGACTGCAGAATAATAATCACCTGCCCCCAGTTTAGATTTGGATCTAAACTGGGTTGAAACCATGCAAGTTGCTTAGAGGAGATATCCCGGGTATAATGTTAGTAAGTCCTGGAGAGATTCTGTGAGAAATCTGTAGCCTGCAGTCTGCATTAGGTAAGATCCAATGTCTTCGTTCCCTATTTATTTAACACTTTCTCAGCAAAGTAAATGACAGAATTTACAAAATTAAGAACCACACACTATCATATTTTATGTACTCATCATGTCATATTTTACACATAAGTACCAAAGAAAATTTACATGGAAACAAAACGAAGATGTAAAGTCACAACAGCCTGATTTATGGGTTTTAGGTCCCTACTCAGGTCTTAATCCAGCAAAAAGCCTGATTATTTTGATCAAAAATTACTGGAGCAAGACCCACCCTTAGGACTTGCTCCATACAGATAATAGTACAAACCTCTCTGCTCAGTATTGACAAGAACACTGTTTGTTTTGCAGAAATGAATGCTAAGGGACTCATTCTCAAGGCTTTTGAACAGTATAGACTGAAAACTTGTATTGACTTCAAACCTTGGGAAGGGGAGAAGAATTACATATTTGTGTTCAAAGGAAGTGGGTAAGAAGAGTATTGTAAAATAACTTTCATCTTCTTTGGCTTCAGGCTATTTTCATGGCCAATATTCACTCTAAAATCATATATCTGATTATAATTTTGTATTTTTGTTATTTCCATTTTTCCATTTTTCTTTTTTTTAAGATGGAAATTGTAGTAGTGTCTAAAATAGGTATTACCTTGGTAGTAATGAAAAATTTCTTGCTGATATGTATTTTTAAATATAAGAGGAAATCAAGTCCTTTAAGAGGTAATTTTCTGGGCATGGTAAAAGATATCAGAAACGAGGCAATTATTTTCCTGACGTATCTTTGGATAGATGGAGTAGCACTTTTAAGTGGTAATTCTTAGTATACCTTAGTTTTAAGGCAAAAACAAAATCCCAGCAGAAATATGATTGTTCTAACTGTGGGACAATAAATTTGTTTGACTATAACAAATGGAATTGCATTTCAACAATGTCACACCAGCATTCAGATGCAACAGTGGTATTTTTAAATGCTACATAGCACTGAGGTATTTTACAGAGCTTTCCATTTATTTACCTCTTTTGAAGAACAGTTATGCTATTCACCTTATGCTATTTCACCTTACATTTTTCAAAATAAGACTCCAGTAAAGAAGTCAAAATTGGTCCAACTGCTTCCCTTTCTAGACAGTCTTTGTTAAAATAGTGCAACAAGAACAAATATATTCTCCATTCTATGTTGAACCATTTATCTTTTAGAAAAAGAGATCAGGAAAAGCTTGATAGCCTGGTGAGGAAATTTACTTTCAGAAAATCATTTCCTGATATGAGAATGCGTTCATAATGGGAAAAGATTTTCTGATAATAAAAATGTTTTTCTTTCCCTTTGGCTTGTTCTGAAATATTTGTAGCAGATAATTGTTTCAAGATTTCTTCAGTCTCTGTCTCTTTATATTTTCTACTCTTCATGCTGTCCACATGACATTGAAACTCAACCCTAAAAGATGTATAAGTGGAGCTTTAGGAAGAAATGCGTTTTCCTGTGCTAATGACTCTTTGGCTTTTTGAGCCAAATGGAAAACTCATGTAGCTAAATTTTTAGTCCTTCATCACACAAAGTATGTATAGAATTTGCTAATAATTGTACCTGAAAAAGAACCACAATATTTATCCTATGGCAACTAAGAGGCCTCTGCATAGTGTTTCATTTATATGTCTGTTAAAAATAGGTAAGTCATGGTGATGAAGAGAACAAGTCACCAGCTGGATAACATATCTTGCCCTCACTGCCTGATGTGCTGCTTGCCCTGAAACGTTGTTGTCATCTCAGCTAACACATCTGTAAAACAATTAATGCTCAGCAGCACTTTTTAAAAGATTGGAGATAAACTGCAGTCTTCTAAAATCAGCTTGTCCAGTTTCAGTGAGCTAGCTTCAGGGCTGTACAAAGAAATCATCAGGACTGACCCTGCATTAACTACCTTTCATTTCACTCTATTCCTCTCTTCTGATAGAACAAGACAAAGTGAAATGTGGGTAAACCAATCCATTTGCCCTCTGGCATTCCTAATTGTTATTTTTTTTTTAACCAGCTAGGACTGTTCTAACTGCAGACTAAAGACCTCAGTCCAGAGGGTACAGTGCAGACAGGAGTATAAAGTTCCTGGCAACACCAGCCATATTCATAAAATTTTATTGCACCAAGAAAAAGTTTATAAAGCATCTTTGTCTTTCCAATCTTGGCTTGCATCTATAAAACAGACAGAGGAAGGTGGGGGAAATCTGTGTCAAAAAGATTTGTAGTAGGCTGCAAATTCCTTTTCTGGATTATCCTTCTGAATTCAAATGAAGTCAGCCACAAAAGGAGCCAGCTGCCATTTTGTTGTGTTGCCTGCCCTGTGTAAAAATACGTTTGTAGTCTCTGATGTACGTACACAGTGTCATCAACCCATGTGCAAAGAGCCCTCTCCCATCCACATCCTTCATCTATCATTTGCCAAGCCTTGGCTACTTCCTGTATTATGTTAACAGGTATATATTTATAATGTTAAATGAGCAGAGGTACACGTAAGGTTTTCTAGCACACAGCCTTTCACTTCAACTTCCGTTCAACTCTGTGTATCTGCAGTGGAGTTTAGACTGTGGATCTATTTTGCTTGACCTCAGCCTGTGTGCTGAGCAAAATACATGAAGGATGTTTGTGAATTACAGAAATGCAGAAGCATCAGATGTGGCAAGGGCCTGCAAAGCTCACAGAACAGCCTGGGAACCTGCATTTCTTCCTACTCTTCTCATGAAGAGCAGGACTCATTCAGCAGGAAAGCTAGCATGGTGTGGTAGAGTCAAATGGTTAACAGACCAGGGAGGATCAATCCAGTCTCCAGTATTTCCACATGGAAAATTAGGTTTTCATGGAGCTCTCCTGGGAGGTCACTTCAGCTCTTTGCCACTGTGGCACACAGCAGAGGGAACCCTTACAGAAGTGGACTGGTACAGATCCCTGGCTAACCAGCCTGGTGCTGGTAAGTCAAAGTGTCTGTGTGCTGATACTGGTGATCTGTGATACTATGGGAAGTTATTTACTAGCATGCCAGTAGTATAAAAATGTGCCTGAAGTAAGTGGCATCCTTGCTACTGATGGCATGTATTTACGTACAGCCCATCTTCCAAAGAGAAGGCTGGTGGGATTAGTCAGAGCAGGTACTCCCCTGTTCCTCTAGCCTCTGATAGAGCAACTAGCAATGCAGAAAGCACATAATCAGAGAAGATTACAGATCTCTCACACTTGGAGAAGCTGGGAATTCTGCCCCCCCCATTTTCTCCCCTCCTGAAGACACTGTTAACACGGGGTTCCAGGTGCCCATTGCTCTGGGGTGCCCTGTCCCACTCACCTAGTTTTATCTCAGTGCTGGGTGACACAGACCATGTATTTACTCACACTGCGGCTACAGAATGATGGTGGTGTAGGCATTCTGAAGTCAAGGGAAAGCTGCACCCCCCAGCGTTTAGATGCTAATTTTGCCAAGTGTCCTGGATGTGCCTGTAGCCCGCTGTGCACTAGGCAGCAGCTGTGATACCAGAGGCAGCTGCTTTGGTACGAGGTGGACCCAGAACTGTGATGGACTTCTTAGACTTCTGCATAACACAAGAAAAAGCTGCATAATCGATATGAGGCCTTGTTCAAGGGAAGCTTGTGAAATTACGGGTGCCACGTGTATTCCTTCCTGGGTCTCATGTTGTGATTTTAATGAGTAATCAATAACCAAGGCCTTTGCTGCTTTGCAGAAAGAGAAATACTGGAGAATATCTTGCACTAGTAAGTTACAGTGTTCAAAAGCGTATGGTGTGCTTATGTTTTTAAATTTCTGGGGCGATAAGACTGCAAATCCTATGGCATATTTTGTGCCCGATTAATTTTATGGACTTCATTGGGTAAGTGTTGATATATTTGCTGCATAAAATATCAATTTAAATGTAGCAGTCTGTGCTTGCTAGTTTGTGGACATGGGGTGCCATTTTATTGGCTTGTGCAGATAGCTCACTGAACTTGTTTATCCTTTAATAAAAACTTCCAGTGCAGCTGCAGTTTTGCTCTTCTTTGTGAGCGTTTGTCAGCAGCAAGTGCTCTAGAGCAGCAGCTCACAAATAGCTAGAAAGGAAAGAGCTTATGAAAAGCACTGTCAAATCCACCAACCTTTTGGAAGGTAAACACAGCTGTGCAGAAGTGTACCTTGCCTGGCAGCCACAGCCCCTTACAAGGCAAAAAGCCAAAACAATCAAGAGAGAAGCAGCTTCAATGGCAGAGGCGAGAACACGCATGAACCTGGTTCCCCTTATGATAGGGACAGGCTTAAAGTGCTCTCACAGTCACATACTGTGGTCCGGCTAAAATTGTTAATTTGCAGTAACTTAATCGCTCTAAATCATGTGTCCATAGTCTTTGATGTTTACCAGAAATCCTCTCAGTTTGGTTTGTTTTTTTTTTTGTCACAAATAGCTCAACATTTTTCTGCTAAAGAAAACCCATTAAAAACAGTAGTGCCAGAGCAGGGAGACTGCCTGTTCATTGAAACAGAGCTAAATGTGAGAGGAAGGGATCCGATAAGGAACAGATCAATGAAAAAGCGCTCTCTGTAGCAAAATGTAACCTTGCCATTCAAGTTAAGAACATAGCTATTGAACAGACTGAATCCGGAGTTTGCGTGTCATGTGAACGGTACGTATCTCACAGAGCCATCTCGCATTTTATTTCAATGCTAGCTGCTGGTCCTCAGTGGGAAACCAGCACGAGGGGTTGCAGCAGCTCTCCATCGGAGCCAACTGTGACAAGATCGGGACAATCCAGCACGAGTTCCTGCACGCCCTGGGATTCTGGCATGAGCAGTCACGTTCCGACCGAGACGACTACGTGTCCATTGTCTGGGACAATATTCAGCCTGGTCAGTCACTGCCCTGCTTTTCTTTCAGGCTCTGGTGTTAGTGGGTTTAGCTATGGAACAGCCCTTCCAGCCATCCTTTGGTGGTCACGCTGTTCTCTTACCTGGACTTACTTTTCAATGCCAGTATATCAATAAATCAAATATCAAGTGACACCTGTTTGGGACAGAAAGCCTTGTTTGTTGTTACTGTGGTTATTCCTTGTGCCATGGCACATCACAGAGCCCTCAATAGAGATCTGAGTCCTGTTATGCTACATGTTGTACAGCCGAGCAGCAGGAGAGAATAATTTAGTTTGTTCAAATGAACACTCTAGAAGCCCTGCTACTCTGGGACCCCTTAACAAAACAAACGGAACTGAAAAAAAATACCACTCTGCAAAACCCAGTGCGATGAAAACCAGTAGAAAACCTCCAGTGAAAACTGGTCATCCTCTTTCTCCTTGGCCTCTACACTGGGTGCAGGCGGCAGAGCTGAGGCAGTGGAGTGTGCAGAGAGGGTGTGCAGACAGCAGAGACCCCTTTCAGGGTCCGTGTCACACGGGTGGCTGCTTTAGCGATGCGGCTCGTGAATGGAAGTGTCGGTGTATTTGGCACAAGCCTGAGGGCTGGCACAGGGCTCCTCAGGACTCTGCTCGGTCTTTGCCTCTTCAGCTTGCCGTCGTCCTCTGCGACTTTCAGACAGTTCAAAGTCATATATGCAGACTTGATGCTTTCCTAACACAGGTACACACAGGAGACTGAAAAATAGATAATGATTAAATCTAATGCATTCTTATTTAGTCATGATCAATAGTCGGGTGCATATGCAAGTATATATTGCAGAAAATTACTTAGATTCTGTTATTTGATTTCCATTATATTTTGCTGACTCTTTAAGGACAAGTTGCACTATTGTTGACCATTTGAAACTGCTGCAGCTTTTTTACACTGACCAGAAAATAGTTACTACATTTTGACTAATTTAAAACATTTAAAAATTTACTTTCCATTGGGTAGTTAGTAATGTTTTTTGCTCATAATCCAGAAAATATCTGTAGAAATAATTCTGGAAGCTTATCTGCTGACAATTGTAACTTGTTTATTGCAAGCTAAAATGACCAGCAATTGAACATCAGAGAATACAGATTAGAAACAAGGAGGCATTACACTTGCAAATTGCATTAATTTGAGTACTGAAACAGTATCTCTGCATTTGGGTATCACAAGCCCATCAAAGTTTACGGCTAGTTTCATGGGGAAAACATTTCTGGTATCAAGAAGCTTTCCCTCATCCAGCAGATGTCATCATGTTATGTTCCAGTGGCTGGAAGAGGAAAGTAAATAACTCTAGACTATAAATAAAATAGCTTTATAGAGTAAGTGCAAGTAAAAGACTACAAAAAAATACTTGGGGATCTGACAGCTTCTTTGTCACTTTTAGCCTGTACATCAAAAATTGTTCCTCTTGGGCAACAAACAATCCTTTTATTTTTCCCAATAAGGTAAAGTTCATAATTTTAAAAAATATGATGATACAACATCAGACTCCCTGAATGTTCCCTATGACTATACTTCTGTGATGCACTATAGCCAAAATGCGTTCAGGATCGGAACTGAACCCACCATCATCACTAACATATCAGACTTCATGGATGTAATAGGACAGCGAATGGATTTCAGTGACTATGATCTCCAGAAACTGAACCGACTGTACAATTGCTGTAAGTTTCTCCATTTCTTTTACATTTTTTGCTTCTGGCTCTTGAAATAAAATGAGGATGATACATATATGCTAGACTCATCCAGGCACAAGTGAAAATGATGCTAATGTATTTGGAGAAGTGAATTGTGTTAAAAACACCAGAAATAATTGTACAGCTAGAAATAGCATAGCCCTCCTGCAGAAACACTGCTGAGTAGCGGAGTTTTCTGTGCAATTTTATCTGACCTTTAGTTAAAAACCAGCTTCACTCAGCAGCTGATTTTTGTTCATCCCTTGGGTGGCTGTTTAAGCGTGTGCTTCTGGACAAAGCTGTTTGTTTTTTCCCCCTGTTATTCCACAGCTGTTGCTCAGCCACTGTACAGAAATTAGTATCTTTGCTGTGGCTATCATACCTACCTGGCTCTCATGTAATCTATGAGACAGTGCGTGCATTCATGCAAGTAGGGTACAGTTGCTGTTATGAAGAAAACATGAGATTTAAAAATTTTTATTTTTAGTTTCAAACCCAGCCTCTTACAAAAGTGGTCAAAAGAGTTATTTTGCTCATGTGGGATCTATTTTAGAAAGTTGATTGGAAGTAAGAGACAGAGAAATAGAGATAATTCTATCACCAAACTGGAATACAATTCTGTAACTGCGACTTCATCAGATGTGCCCTGGCACTCAGATGAAAAGTTCTACTTCATTGCCTCAGTATCCCAAGTAGTTAGTACTGGTTTACAATTATATTTTAAGCCTCATTCTACAGAAAAATCATTATCAAGCTGCTTTATTAAAATAGTGCATTTTTTTGAGCATACAATTCTGTTTAAAATATTTCTGTTCATGTGGGTCTGAACTGAAGACACACATGCAGCCTTAACTTCTAGCACTTGATGCACAGTCAATTAGGTGGTAGAGAAGTGCTTACAGCTAATCATGTCTAACAATGGATGGGGTCCTTCTTCCTCTCCATTAATCTTATATACTTTCCATCATTCTCATACATTACATGAATATTTCATGATATTTTAACTTTATTCTTATCCCATAGGTACATTCCTCCCCTGAAATAAGCCCTAGTCATGTTGAAATTAGTGACAAAACTGTCACTGCCTTCAGAGCGATTGGGTTCTGCCCTGGTCCCCAGTCTGTCCCTTGGCTTCTTATAGTGTGCATGATATTCGCAGGGCCCTAAGTGGTCTTCACCTCACCCCCCATTTGCCTGAGGGACCCCTGTGCCAGGGAGGAGGGGGCTTCACAGGTCCCAGCCCTCGCCCACCCAGATGCTAGGCTGATCCTTTCAGGTTAGAGGGAAGACTGAGAACACCAAAAATTGTTTGGGTGGCAGATATCTTACCAGAGGAGTCAAAAGATTGCTTCTGTTGCTGAACATGACTTAAGGAAAAGTTAAGGTGAATTTCTGCTAAAGGCCTGCTAAATTTCTGGATTTCTGTCAAAGGTTAGGAAATTGCATTAAAAATGGGAAAGTTGGTTCTTACATGGAAAAAAAAAAACAACCCACAGCATAAGAAATCCTGACTGAAACTTTCATGTTGCTCACGTCTCTTGTTCAGGACTGTCTTTCACACCATATGATAACAGTAGATTTTAGTCTGCTTTCCCCTTCTAGCATATTAACTTAACAGAACTGGCCATGAGGTTTCCCTCAGCCACTGGAAGTTAGGACTGAGCCCTTGTCCCCGAAGTACTGTCTTCTGAGTCCAGCCTTTCACTACGTACCAAGAAAGTATCTGGCTTTTGATGCAGATGGAGTTCAAAATCTGCCTCAAGCAGTGCTCCCTTCCCCTATTTCAGGAATTAACCTAAGAAATATTTTGTAAACTATTAGGTCTTGCTTTTGTCTCTTCCTGTCGTTCAGGTCACTAGTCCATGCCAGCTGGCACTTTTTAGGTAAGGACGTTAGGCTACTTTCCTGTTTGGGCAAATCGATTTCATATTTTGTTTTGTATTCTGATTTCAAGTGCTTTTATCTAATAATTCTCTTTTTGCTTACCTTCTTCCTGACACCCTAGCATTTTATTTTTTTTTCTTTCTTCAACAGACTATATAACATTTAGAGTGAAAATCTGTTCTTGGTTTTTACAGCATCATACCAATACTGTATTTTAAAAGGTGTCAGTCATACAACACTTCTGATAGCCTTGCAACCTCTAGAGGATGGTGAGCTTTCTGTGAGGAAAGTACAAAGTATCTCAGCAGTACAATTGATTTAGCAGAAATTCATCCTTAAGTGCTTCCTTGAGCTACAGCCTCAGTGAATCATTTGGCATGCCATTGAGGTTGATTTTTGTGATACACAAGGTCCTTTTTGTGGTGCAATGAAACCTTTAAACCTGCCACAGTATTTTATACATAGTTTGAAAAGCATTTTATTATCTTTGTTGTTTTCAAATCATGGCTGCTGTTACACAGAGCTCAGACATGGTACAATGGGAAACAAAAGTAAGAACAGGGATAAATCTGGACAGTGCCTTCCCTCACCCATCCAGGGCTTGCTTTAGACAGAGAAAATAATTCATACAGTGCTTTCCTATTCAACTGCACAGTTTTTCCTCACTTAATTTTTCACTTGTTATATGCAAGACATCTGAAAAATTTGTATGAGATATCCACTGGTCCCAAATGTACCTCTGACAAATGTTTTTGGTTTTGCTTTCTTTTTAATTCAGCATTTTGAAAATCAAGGTTTGATTACTGTAGTGAAATAACTTCTGATCTACTATATTTCAAAATAAACACTCCAGCAGATACATTAGTGAACTTTTGTGAAAATCTGTGGCCATGTGTGCACTGGCCCAAAGAAAGCAGAGAAATGAATGGGAAGGCTCAGGACCTTTTGACGGCGTGAAAGCTGGTGGGTTGGGGCTGGTATTAGTGTTCCCTTTATAAATGTGATAAAAAAAAAGATGTGATATGATAATTAGCTGGCACCCTCCTGTTCTTGCTGAGTGGCCAGAGTAGTCTTGACAACATCTTATTAATGTCACTGTTAATTGCTAAATGCTTTGAGTTCCGGACATTATACCTATGAATGTTGATAGTATTTGAAGCTGCTGATTATTTGGTATTTGCATTTAGTCCTTCTCTGCTCTTGGCTTTGGACATTCAGAATTAAAATGTCATGTAATAGAGATTCACAACTTTTCTCATCCTTTTTTTTTTAATGTTATAGCCTCCTCCCTAAGTTTCATGGACACATGCAGTTTTGAACTTGAAAATATATGTGGCATGATTCAAAGTTCAGATGATAACAGTGATTGGCAACGTTTGTCTCAGGTTCCAGTTGGGCCAAATACTGATCACACTAATATGGGAACATGCGAAGGTAGGAAACAAAACTGTTCTTATCTCTCTGGGAAGTATTTTCTGCAGAGGCATGTGAGTTGACTTTGATCTTGGCCTTGATTTCTGTTTATTTGTTGACAAATTACAGTTTACTTTTTAACTAAGCAACATAAATCTATATACTTAGGGACATCATGTGATACGTTTGATATTTTGCTTATTTGAGAAGATTGAATGTCCTTATCTATTTTGATCAGTTTTCTAGTCTTACTGTCACATCCTGACACGAAAACTATATAAAATGTTCTAAACTATGGGACAGGCACACCAGAAGGACTGCTGCTTTTCTGAATAACTGCTCAGTAAGTCTTCAGAAAGGATTGGAATTTAGAAATTATGTATATTATCAGGGCTCAGGTGAACGATTAATTGAGAATATAGACAGTTATTTCTGAACCTGTCAGAAGAAACTTCATGTGTTCAGGAGCTTAAAACAGTCCTCCAGAGAGAGTCGACTGTGAATTGCTGGCAGTGGGGAAGGAGTAAAAGCCCATGCTTTTGAGTACAAATTGCTAGAGACAGTCAAATGAGAGAAAAAGTTGCAAGCAGAACAGTTCTGTCACTGGAGAATGTAAACGGGTAACAGTCCTCAGTGTGAGGATTTGTACATGATCTACCTTGTCCTGACCTGACCATGTCTTCTAGAGTTATTACAATACAGTGTTAACACTACCACTATGCCAGGCAAATTTTGTTTTCTCTCTCTTCTACTGTTCCTTTCTAATTAACTTTTGACAGATTCTGGCTACTTCATGCATTTCAACACCAGCGCTGGAGCAGAGGGAAGCACAGCTACCCTGGAGAGCCGAATTCTGTATCCTAAACGGGGCTTTCAGTGCTTACAGTTTTATTTCTATAACAGTGGTCACGAAAGCGACCGGCTGTATGTCGGGGTCAGGGAGTATACTTCAGCCCATCCAAATGGTACTTTGAGACTTATTGAAGAGATAAAAGGTATGGAATAAAATTGCATTTTGTTTTAAACTACACTCAATGTCCTTTTCTAAGTACTGGGGGAAAATACTGTAGCAAAGTGACTCATCTCCTAGTGTTAGTCTTTGATTCTCTGCTGGTGAAATTATACTTGATGGATCCTCAGTCAGCCATTTTCCTATAATATAATAAGTTATCACAAATTACAAAATCTTGTGTTATCAAGATAGTTTTCTCACCAAAATAGCTAAAATTCCATGAGCAGTCATTTAAACTGTTTTAGAATTGATGGTATCAACAGCAACAGATGAAGTGGGTCATGGGAGTAAATTGCAATGCGTAAGAAAGTAATAATAAAGAAATGGAAAATATAAGAGTCCTGGAATACCTAGCACATCAGTTTAAAAAAAGATAAATAAAATGTAACTTACTTTTTAAACAAAGTTTGAAATGGCTTGACTGAAATATGCAGGTAGCAGATGATGGTTTGAGTTGTAGTTTGAAGAAAATTGAGTTTTTGTGGTTTTAAGAGCCTATGGCCTACAGAATGAGCAACTGAGGTCAGTTAACAGACAAGAGCTCTTTAATCTAGAATTGCCAAAGTCATCTTATGATTAAATTATTTTCTCAAACATTTAACTATTATTTGGTCTCCATTACAGCTACAAGTAGATCAGTCTTCTGGTTGCATAAGGGTCTGCACATGTTCTTTTACTAAATAGGTATCAAATCCACTGTTCTTCATCTTTTTGTCCCTTTAGGCTCAGCTATGGCTCATGACTGTTTTTCTTTTCTTTTTTTCCACTCTTTTCTTCACCCTGATGCTTTCATCATTCCTGTGTGCCATCGGGAATCCTTAGTATAAATGTCAGGGCTGCTGAGGCAGATGTAGATTTCAGATCAGTCTGAGCTCTCCAAACTCTTTCAAACCTTACTTTGAAGCCAAGGTTATTTTCTCCACTCTTCAGCCTTCTTCACAAATACTCCTGCATGTATATTAGGTCCCATCTCCTATTCCTGCTTTCTCGAGTCCATAATTTCCTTTTAAGTCTCTGATCTCAAATGGGCATCCTCCTTTAACAATCTCTGGTAAAACTTTCAGGAATTGTTTAAGATAACTTTTTCCCCCAAGCAATTTTTAACTTCTCTCATGTGAGCAGTTAGCCTCCCCAACAGAGTCAACAGACTGGAAGAAACAGTGACTCTACAGCCCTTTCCAGCCATGACCTGGCATTCTGGCTGAGCTGCTCATGGGTTTGCACTGAGGCACCACTCTTGAGAGGCTGAGGGACAAGCCCTGAACCCTTTCTGCTGGTCTGTGGCAGCTGTGGCTGCCTTCAGCTGGGAGCAGGGGCAGCTGTGGGGTGGGACATTTCACAGCACAGCAGCTGATCTGCTTGCTGAACATGAATTAAAAACGTTGGTCTTGCATGTAATCTGTGCAGTTCAAAGAAGTTTTAGTTTATGCAGAAAGCAATTTAAGGGAAAACAGTGGAGTGCTTTTGTTTTTGTTTCTGGGTTTATTTTTTTTCCTCCTAATGATAATGAAAAATGGCAAGAAATTAAGACTCATATCAGATCCACTGTGTTGTGTTTAGAATTGTTAGGACAGCGAAGCAAGTTCTGTACTTGAGATTGGCACCACTTATTCCATAAATGCAGCTGCAAGTCTGGTCTTCCATGCAGCTAAAGATAAACCAGAGAGCAAAAGAGACTATTTTGCTGCACATACTATTAACAAAGGATGTTCTACTTTCACCTGCTTTACAAGGCCCCTGTGCAGAGGTCTTTGCTTTTGCATACACTGCTCTTGGAGTCAAGTGGAATTTGCTAGTGCAGGCACTTTTGGATGAAACATCAGACTCACAGTGAGGTTTTATCACATGAATTAAGTTTTGAAAATGACTGTCTTTAATTTGAACTTAGTATTATTAATAATTTGATGGGTGAACAGTGCTTCTGCATAGGCAAACTTCTAACAAGCCATTTAAATATAGAGAAACAATTGAATGAACAAATCTTGTAGTTCTAGGCTTCCCGAATCTTCTGTAGTACTTTTTATTGAGACATGTTGTTATTCAATTATTTGAATATACTTTGCTCTGATTTTTTTTTCCTTTTAATAATACAGGTGACAGCTATCTTTGTGCATTTAGCTGTCACAACACTTATAGTAATTTAACGCAATGTTCTTTAAGAATTTAAAAGAAAAAGAGTCTTAAAAACCATTAACACTGTTTTCTCTCAAATTAAAGAGCTGCTATGCATATTAAATCTGTTGAAAAACTGAATTGAGAAAATATGATCTTGCACTGAAAACATAACATCTACAGGATAAATATTCCATCACGTGAGTGGAAGTGGAACTGAGAAATTCTCACACAACATTGCTATAGGGTCTGTAGACCTGTGCAGTGTTTGTACTGCTTACTCAGAAACCCCTACTCTTGTTTTTCAGGTTCACCTGCACCTTACTGGCAGCTCCATCATGTTTCTTTGAATATGACAAGTAAATTCCGGGTTGTGTTTCAAGGCATGAGAGGAAGTGGCTTATCAAACGGAGGCCTCTCTATTGATGACATCAATTTGTCAGAAACTCAGTGTCCTCATCACGTCTGGCATATCAGAAATTTCACACATCTCCTCAATACGAGTCCAGCAGGGACAGCCGGAAAGATATACAGTCCACCTTTTTACTCTAGTAAAGGATATGCTTTTCAGGTCTGCTTGAAAGTAAATGGTAGCACCAGTAACCCGTTTAATTTAGGAATGTACTTGCATTTGATTTCTGGAGCCAATGATGATCATTTGCAATGGCCCTGTGCATGGCAACAAGGTACCATGATTCTGCTTGACCAGCATCCTGATATTCGTCAACGGATGTCAAACCAAAGAAGTATAACAACCGACCCCTTGAAATTATCAGGTTAGTTAAAATCAGACATGCTATCCAGTACATTTAAAATACAGCCAAAAGATAGGGAGCCAAATTTTCTCTTTATGTCAAGTAATGCAGTTTTTTCAGCTTCTGGAATGTTTCATTTGCTCACAGCAACAATATAATTGATCCACGGACAAGAAAAAAATGAACATACAAGTAGGTTAAGCTGGGACCCTGAATTTCAAAGTTGATTTGCATAAAAAACAGGTGAATAATCCACTTGTAAAATTTCTTTCATATGCTCTGTGAAGATGCATTTATATCTGCTTTAACGAGAATAGAAGTTTTCCAGAAGGCTTGAAAAGAAAAATGCTGAATTAACAACACACACATTTCATACTAGGTAAAAGTGCAGCTATTAAACAAATCCTCACCCTCCTTGTAAAAGGAACAGTGGTGTCAGCGCAAATCCCAGATGGACAAAGTACCGATTCATATTGCATAACCTGTACTTGTTCAAGGTGTGAGAAGATAAGGAGCAATTGTCCACAATAACTTGGAAAGGAAGCAGGTGGGGTAAAGATGTAACTGAGAAATGGTAGGAATCTCTATAAAGAGACATATTAAAGAAAACCCCCATATTCATCATTGGATAAAGATTGGATTTAAGCCAAAATTACTTTCTGCATAGATATAGTTTTGCCAAAAGAAACCACCTCCTCCATTGAATTGGTTTCCTGGGCTTTCAGACCATAACACTAGTGAAGGAAGGAAGGTGCAAAAATGTCTAATTCACGGTATTATTCTAAAAATTTTAGGACTTACATTGATTTCTCTATGACACTGTCTCTATGTGAAAACAAAGGGAGTAATCTAGAAAAAATGAATATCCTCCCTGTAAATGAAAGACACACCACACCAGGCCCTCCACAAGTGGCTGACATCTTCCCTGTGCATTCTGCTGTTATGGCCACAGTGCTTAGCTCTTTTTCTTCCCTGCCCCTGTGGACATGCAGTCTGTTTGCACTCTGCTCCTTCTCCCTTATTTATTCATGTATTGCTAATAGTGCCAGATTCCCAAGAGAAGACTTGTAACTCCTACCCTTTCTCTAACCAGTAGAGGTGTTGGAGCAGGCAGTTCCTTCTCCCTCTGTCAGATACTTTCATAGACAATCAGGATCAGCTTTGAGATTTAGAACAGGGTTTGATGGAGGAGACATCAGTGGCCTGTGACCGTTCAGGTTGTCCAAGTACTCTTTGCCCTACATCCACATCAAGAGATGTTCTTCTTTGAGAATCACTGAATGAATTTGTTTTACAGATGATTCACGTGCTGCTCATCTTCTTTCTCACTGCACTTTAGAAGAACTAAAACCAAATCACAACAGGTCTTCAGCTAGCTCTCCAATAACCTAATCTCCAGCAGGTTCTTTTCTCAATACATCAAGCTAAACCAAGCCATTGAAGATCTCCATTATCTTGTACATCTCACCAGTGTAGAATCTTAGGCAAAAAATCTGCAAATATTGTAGGCAGGTTCAGCATTGCTCCTACTCCTTGAGTTTCAGGTAATATATTGTTTCTTCCATTTTCATTATATCCATGAGCAGCTACACAGAAGCAGGCAAAGTAGGACGCAGTCTGTCTTGGTTGTTGAGGGAGGTCTCGGTACTACTTTGCAGCAGAGATTATCTGAGAAAGAAGGGACCTTATTGAGAAAGAAATCCAGAATGGTGCCACATCCACATTCAGTCAATTTTCTTTTCCAGATTCCTCATCATCTTATTTATGGGATAGGCCAGATAAAGTGGGATCCATAGCATCTTTTCCCAATGGAACTACATTCATGAGAGGCCCAGGAAGTGGAACAAGTGCCTTTTTAACTCATCAGAGACTTAGAAGCCGCAACTTTATTAAAGAAGACAGTGTTTATATTCTTTTAACAATGGAAGGTATGTAGACATAGCTGATATTCTTTACAGTACAGTAAACATAGAGTGTCACATACTTACTAAGTCTCTATCTCTGTAGATATAAATACACATGATGTACTTTGAACATGAGCAGTTTTGGAACTATGCATGTATCTGAAGTCAAATCATATGCTTAAATAAATTTCTGGACAGATACATTCCTTTATCTCATGTGAAGGTGTATAAAACGATGCTAATGCCATGCAAATTATTTTGAATAGGGTACTTTGAATAAAATTGTCTGTTTCTGAAAAAATCTAGAGGATATTTCCAAAATACATAAATCTCCTGAAAGGTAAAAAAGACTATTTATCCATTATGTCTATGGACAGGCTCTTTGCTCTTTGCTCTTAGAACTTACAATTAGAGTAAGAGGAAAACCAACATGAAGTCAAGACCTTATTTCTTGTGTTTTTATCGTGCAGATATATCACATCTACTATCAACTCAGCCAGGTACCACCACCAAGCCTACCACTAGGTCTACCACCACCACACCCATCACAACAGCCTCTGTCACCCAGACCGAAGAGCCAGAGTTAGAGGTTCCGCATTTCTGTCCAGACAACCCTTGTGAAAATGATGGTGTCTGCGTTATTGTAGATAGAGCAGCAGTGTGCAGGTAACTGCCTTTAATCACTCTCAAATGCAATGTTAGGAAGAGTAATTAACGTTTCTAGTAGAATAAATCTTTGTTCCTAATGAAAGGAAAGACATACTATAGCTGATTAAAGCAAGTATTTCCAGCTGCTACTGCGAGACTAAACTTATGACCAGTTTGGGCAACAAAGCTCCTAACCTTTTGACCATTTTGAAGTATTCTGCTTGGCTTCCCTGTAAATTATATTTTAAATGTGTTTATTGTTTTCACTAATGTATTAATCCAATGTTATAAAATGGACTGTGCATCTCCTTAGAATTCCCTATAGCAAAATTTAGAAGAGTTAAATATAAATGCAGTTGAAACAAAAGAGCGTTTATATCAGTACAAAAGATGTTTAATACTTCTCAGGCAGGAAGCAAAATAGACGTCATTTCAGAATTTGATTCAGAAATACTGTCTAGTGCAAATTATGACCATGAATTGCCAAAATGTAGTTGCTTGCCTTTGAAACCAGCAATGAAGGCAGACGACTAAAAAGATTGTTTGTCCTGCAAGAAAGTTAATATCAACTTTTATACAATGATTTATGGATACATTTATGTAACCCACCTGGCTGATTAGCATGGTTCCATCTCTCAAACCAGGTCGAAGGCTGAAGATAGTAACATTATGGGATGCTGTGCCAGGGCAGGTATACTGGGGTAGTGCTGTGAGGCAAATGTCTAAAGGCCGAGAGCAACAAGAGTCAGGATGACTCATCAAGTGTTATATCTCCCCATTTAGAAACCTTTTAAAAAACAATTATTGTGCAACCCATCAGAAGCAGGTCATAAATATGAGTAAATGTCAAGAAGCTGTTTCAAGAATACAAAAAAAAAAAAAAAACCAAAACAGCTTATGCTGAATGTTATGCCTGATTTTGAAATTATGGAAAGAGAACATTTATTTTCTGATGTTTCTGGACTATTTGAAGCTCTAGTGCCTATGTGACCTACTTTCCATCCTAGACAAGTGTGTGGCCAGCAGTCAGTTTCTACTCTGATTTTCTACTGGGAAACAAGAGGGAATGTGATACAGAACTCTGTTTAACCCGGACCACATGAAGTGCCCCAACAGTCAGTACCTTTGCTGCACACTGCAAACAGACTCATTTTCAGGGTTGAGGAGAGTTCTGAATAAATGGCTTAGACAGACACTAGAAAAACAATACTAAACGAACAACCAGGGTTAGAAAGATAGGCAGAGGTGTGCACTTAACAGTATGGCATGTATATTTTTTCAGTTAGATCACTGGGACCCTCATACGCTCCCTTTAAAATGTTTCAGAGCTGATTGTCATGCTGGATAAGGTGAACGAATCAAGGCCTGGAGGTTGCTTGTAGTCCTAAAACTAGATGACTGCTAGGATGTTAATTTATTTTCTTACCTGCTTCTTGAAGGAGGGCAAAGGCAGCTCATACAAGTTCTTTAAATTTGAAATAAAGCCCTTCTGCCAATGAGAACGTCTGATCAGAATGCACCACATCTACTACTGGAGAAGCACTGACCAGGGAAAGGAGATGTAGTGGAAACACCTTCACCTAGCTCAGTTATTAAATGTAGTGGAAACACCTTCACCTAGCTCAGTTATTAAACTGAGGAATTCTGTATCTAAATTTCGGTTCAGCTGCTATCTGGTCAGAGATGCCCTGAGAGTCCAGTCTGTGGTCTTCACCTCATTTATCTCAGGGGTTCAAATTGCTGCATAAGTTGAGCTGAGAAATAAATCCAAAGAACATGTGAGGAAACAAGAGGATGAAGTTTTCTGTGGGATGGTAAATGTGACTTGGTTGGATAAAGATAGCAGTGTGAAGCTTCTGGACCAGTTGCCCTAGGAGCTTATTCAACTCCTTCCTATAAAGGCTTTTTAAAATTGACTGAATGAAGAAGATAGAAGGGCTTTATGTAAAAGCTGAATATGTTAAAAGGCAGATCTGCATCAAGATATGAGGCTAATTAGTAATAGTGGAAGCAAATATTACAAGACATTGGTCCTAGTGGCAAGTATCAGTTTCACTGAGCAGGAATTGAGTTCCCTATCAACAGAAGTGATATAGACTTCAAGGAAAAGGAAGCAGATAAGTGAACTGAGTGATCCAGAGGACATCTCTATTGGTAGCAAAAGATGACCATTCCGTAGCAGCAGCTCTATAAATCAGCTGTAGCCAAGCATTAAGCAGTCAAAAGGATCAGGATGGTGCTTAGGTTTTCTGGCGAAGACCATCTCTGAAGAGGTAACCTGTAAAACAGCAGAAAAATGAAAGAAACACTTCCAGAGGTGTAAGGACAGTGAGCCACTCGAGACAACTTTAAAATAAAAGTCTATTTTAAGATAACTCCATTATGCTTTAGGATATAGAAACAGTGCATCAGAGATTGCATTTTTCTTAAGTAGTCCTTTTCATGCCTTTAATCTTTATGTGATAGCACATTTGTTCTTTTACTTTCTAGATGTCCAGCAGGTGACAACTGGTGGTACATGGGAGAAAAGTGTGAAAGGAAAGGTTCAACTCAAGAAAATACTATAATAGCTGTTTCTTCAACCATAACTGTATTTGTTGTAATGCTTATTATTACTATCACAACCGCAGTGTGCCTTAAAAAGAAATACAGACATGGAAAGGCACATGGGGAGAGCGTGACTCTAGAAGTAAGTATTTTGCCTCTTTCAACAAATAAGTATACACACATATATAAATATATATATATATATATTTGCTAAAAAATAAACAATCAAATTCAGTAAGAAGTAAATTGGAAGATGTCACATTTTTGAATTCTGAAGACTCCAACTTAGGAATTAAAGAGCTCCATTAAGTGCTAATATTTAATAAACACTAAAAAGCCACTTAATTCAAAGCCTGTTCTGCTCTTCTGCCCCCACCACCCTTTCTCCCCTAATGGCAGCTTACATTGAATGGGAGAGTGTGAACAAAGGGGCTTATTTTCAGTTTGCAACTAAACCATGATTTCTGCTTAGTGAACATGCATTTCCTCTATTACTGCATTTTCTACTAAAGAACTCCCCTTAAAACACCTGGATATGGTGCTAAAAAACCCAACCCAAAATGTCAAAACAAAAAGAAAATCTAAAAATCACTTTCCCTATTCAATGGCCATTTTTTACGCAAGAAGCAAAGTAGCCATGAAAATCGTGACTTCAGGAGAATTAAAAAAAGACAGCAGATTACAACTATCTGAATGACTGGATCAGAATGGCCATATAGACAATAGCAGATCAATTTGCGCAGGTTTTGATAAGAAGTTTCATAAAGTCCCAGGCATACGGACTCCTAGTTTAAACAGAGAATTAGACTTGGAAACAGCAAGAGTGACATAGCTTAGAGGGACTCACAAAGCACAGGAGAAATTTTGTAAACAAACTGAAGGGGAATGGCCTTCCAGAGAGCAGACTTCCATTTTGAATTTTGTCTTAATACTCTTTATGTGATGTCCTGTTGAGATGAAGTACCTCTGTGTGATGCCAGATACTTGACACTGTTACTTGATGTCCTTCCAGTAAATTATTTTGGTTTCTTTGCATTTAACACTCTTACACTATAAACATATGTCCCTCCCCTATGTGCTTTTGAGATGTGGGTTTGTTTGTTTGTTTTTCCCATTTAGAATAAAACATCCTTCTGAAGACAACACAAACAAGCGCAAAAGACATAAAAGGAATGTCACTGGAAAACCATAACTACACCATTGTTCTTTCTATTACTTCTATCTCAACCATCATAATAAAGGTTTGTAAAGTCTGGAAAATAACTAATCTTCTCGATAAAATACTGTGCTAAAGTCAGTAAAGTGTCTGTCAATGTTGTGTATATCCATGCAATGGAGAAATATGGAAATACGTTGTGTGACATGCCTGCCCTGTCCTTTAAGTCTACCTGAACATGAAGAAAACATGTAAAACTGCATCCTGATTTTCAGTCAACACAATGGAGTCTAAGTCTGCTATTTTATCATGATACAGATGGCTATAATAAAAGGGAGCTAGACTCTGTAAGCACAGGATACCCAGCAGTTCAGAGTTCTGCAACAGCTGTTAGTCAGTAATGTGAGGGTATGTGGAGTGTGGGAGCATCCGGTTCATTGAGTTATTTGGTTGTGAATTTACTATAAAAGAAAAAAGAAGTAATGTGGAAAGATGAACTAACCACACAAACACACGAACATTGATGAGGAAGTCACAACAGAAACAGTAATGAAGACCCAGAATGTTTCAGCCACTGATTGATGGAGCATTAAAGGGACTATACAGGCAGAGCCTTCAAGAATGTCAATGTGAACAACAATTTTTATCTGATAGGAAGGGGAAAACATGATTAACATGAATATTATGGGAAAATTGAAGCTGCTTGGGAGACGGGCTATGAGAAGCAGCTTGTGGACTAATGTAAAAATGACTATGGGATGTTTAGGGGAAGGGCCAAAGGATCCATAGAAAAGGGGAAGGATCATGATGGAACAGAGAGGAATGAGTGTGGGAAAATTGTGCCAGCAACTGGAGAGACCAACCTACAGGAGAGATCTGTGTGCCAATGACCACAGGAGACCACAGGTCTTGGGGCTTGTGGGTCTGGGTACTAGCACATGGAGGGACTGACAGGTAAGAGTCTGTGTGCCAGTAACTGGAGGGACTGTGAGCTCTAGAACTTAGGTCGTAGGGATTGTAAGTCTAAACACCAGCGACTGGAGGGACTGGGGGGGTGTGTGTTGAAAATTTCAAGTGCCAGAAACTGAAGAAGAGGCCATGGGCACCAGGGCTGTGTGTGTGTGTGTATTTCTTCAGTGAATTTAATCCTCTGTGTGTGTATGTATAATTCAGTAGCAAACCTCAAGCTGGACTAGCTAGTAAGTTGGAGGAAACATTTCGACATCTGGAGGACTCACTTTGAGCCAGTGGTTGGGGTAAGGAAGCCCAGGGTCCAGGCATGGTTATTAGGCAGATGATTGAGAGCTTGTGGTAATATTCAAGAGATCTGTGATTGTGGAAATGCTTATGTGATGGGTGTGTGAGCGTATGCATCTGTTTTCCTAGCAAGCATCACGTTGCTTTATCTTGTAAGTAGGAGGTGACCTGCATACCAGCTAAGGGGCCCCAGGTCCAGGCATAGATATTAAGCATGTTTAGAGGCTGTGCTAACATTCTAAAGGGTTGTGAAAGTGGGTGTTATTATGGATGTGGGGGATGAGGGCACACATGTTTTCACCAGAGAATGTCCATTCTGATCAGCTGCGGGGGAGGAAGAGCAGGGGTCTGTCTGCATTTGTGTGAGTTTGGGTGAGGTGGGTGCTGCTACCTGCACTGCTCTGTGTGTGTGCAGCAGTCTGTGCAGCCAGCTGCATTAGAGACCTTTGTGTGTGTGTGTGCTTGTGATGCTTGGACACACGCTCAACCTTGCTACAGGCCAGACTTGCAAGCAGAAACAGCAGCAGCTGCATCCCTGGGACTGGGATGAAGAGATCACCTGGGACCATTCCCGGCTGGGCACATTGGCTGGGGAAGTGGGATTCCGGGTCTGCTGGTTTTGGCATCTTCCTTAACACGTTTGATATTCTACAAGGCTACAATTTAATAGGATTTGGAGAACAGAGAAGACATGGAAATAGGAGAAGGGCCAGAAGAAGCAATATGTACTTCCCTGAGGACACTTTGCAGATGAAGATAGCAGTCATCATGGGCACATATCGTCACGTTTGCAGTGTTTTGGAGGGGGGTTGCAAGACACAGGAGTGCCAGTAATAGAAATGTCAGGTCACACCAGATGGTTGGTAGACTGGTATGCGAATATGTTCACATTTAAAGGTCAGCAGCTACTTTGATTCCCTGGAATGGATGTTGATGATGATAACATTTGTCATACAATTTACCCTAACTCTGGGCAAGAGCAGTTCAAATGTATGGAAATTTGATGAGGGAACTAGTCTTCCTCTGAATGCTACTGCATGGCACAAAGCAACAAATGTGTATGGTTCTGTACTGACATCGCATATGTAGTCCTCTGATTAATATTCTCTGAAATGTGGTTATATTTTAAGTATTCATTGCTGGTTTTATTAGCTTTTGTTGGAACCCAAAGATTCATGAAAACAGTTGGACAAAATTGACAAAGATTTGTCAGAACTAACAAACATCTTGGATAGGAAGATACCCTACTATAGCTGTCTTAAAATAACTTTCCTATTTTGATATGTCTTCATCAGCAGTTTTCATGCAAATAATCCTCCAAATGCGCCTTCAATTAAGATATGCACATAGATTTACATGGTGTTAAGAAGACGCAAATGAGACTGTTCATAAATTCAATCCTGGCTAAAATACTTAACATTATAAACAGTGAGCATTTCATAATTTCGAATGTGAACTACTGGATTTGTGACTGCAGAGATCATTTATATTTTTTGAAATCCAGATTACATGAAATGGCATAAATACTACCTGAATTGTAAACTCTTTTGTGCTTTCACTAGAAGAAAGCTTAATACATACTGCAATATATTATAATACATTGTGCAAGATACAAATTCCATAGAGTACATCTTGAAATGGTAAACTCCTATGGGAAAAAAAACCCTTAAGCTTCTGCTTATTCATTTCAAACAGGAATCAGTGAGGACCACAATTTAAAACTGAATCTTCCAGTCAGAGAGTAAGAACAACTCACTTTTCAGTGGTGTGCAGGTTCCACAGAGCCAAAAGCAAGACAGGTTTTATTAATGTCATTAACTGATCTACAAATACTCTAGAGGAAAATACTTTTTTTTTTTTTTTCAATTTTCAATGCATAAAAATTACTCAGAAAGTCCATGATCAGATTCAATATTTCATTTCATTGTATATCACAAAATTTATATTACTAGCCCAAGTTCCTGGACAAATACATTTTTCTTACAAAAGCTGTACCTCAACTGTCTTATAGTGATGGTCTTCTTTTGTGAAGAAAGAGGGAGTTTAAAAATACATATGCGGTTTAGGAGATGGAGCATTTCAACTGGAATTTTCTTCTTTATGAGTAGATGCTTTACTTGGATTTGCAATGTAACCGGTTGAAGTTGCAATGTCTCAGCAATGGTCACCTCTTGTGAAAACAGCAAAGAAGATTCACCAGCCCAGGTGAATTTTCCCTGCTTTACACAGACTTTCCCTACATGGCTATTAGGAATGTATTTATTATTTTTAATGAAACAGCTTAATGTTGGAGACATAGATTTGACACATTTACAGATAATACAGATATTCATCACAGATCAGATACTGCATTGGTCAGTTGGAAAGCCAGACATGAGGTCGCGGCCCTTCACAAAAAGACCATGTGGAAGACTCCCCTAAAGCAGATTTATTCATAGAGAGTTTTACTGAAAATCTTTAATATAAGCTCATATGTAAGAAATCACTGAGGTACTACTATGATAGAAAAACCCATCCATGTAAAATCTGCACAAAGTTCCACTTCTCTTTCCCGTGCTTCTCACCTTGTGGTCATTCACTTGCCACAAGGATTTGCTCTGCCTGCACCCTTGAAGCCGTGCAGGTCAGGCACACTCCACTTGCTACAGATCAGGACTAGTATAAAAAGCCTATTGTTGGCTTCCCACAACATGTAGAACAAGGGGTTGAGCTGTGAATGTTGGCTCCTCAGGTCAACTGCCCTGCTCCCATCCTTCATTCAAGTGTGGGTCTCTGCTGGTACCTGGTGGCTGCCCCCCTAGCAAAGACCTGGGCTTAAGTGAACGTTGTCTTCTCTGCTCCTCCTCTCCTGAGCTCTGGACTAGCTGTGCAGCTGGACCCAGCAGAGTATGTGCACGTTGTATTTCGAGCTGTGTGTATGACTCATTCCCCACTGCTGAGTCTATCAGGAGTCACAGCATGGGTTTAAGAATAAAATTAAAAAACCCCAACACTTAAGTCAGTGGCTCAGGTTTGGAGCTAAGTTGTTGATCTATCTACTTATTGGTCTTTCTTCAAGAATCTCATCATTGCAGAAAATCCTTTAGGCATGCCGCTTAATATCTATGCTAAACAGTATACACAGCCTCGTATTCCTGATATAGGCAAACTAGACCAATTTCTTTGCTATTTGCATCACATGGATCAGCTTGCTCAGTCTAGCTTTTGCAGAAGTAGCAAATAACTGAATCATAATGTCTAATAGTCTGGCTGGCACTGCATTGTCTAAATGCAAAAAAGGGACTGCGCCTAGAGACTAGCTCTCTTGTTTCAGCTAAGCATGTCAGGTGTCTCGTACCACCCACGCCAGGCAGACACGGTTCCAGGGTGCAGGGCAGGAGTCATGAGTTGTCATTTTTTTAGGTGCAGACTGGAACAGAAAAGTGGTATTTCTCCCTTTTTTTTTTTTTTTTTTTTTCCTTCCACAGTTCTCCTTTTCCACTGTTATTAGAGCTCAGGCTCTTTTGCTAAGACAAAGATGCCCCATGTCAGTTAAAGTGTCTTTGATTTTCATAAATAGGATCTTAATTCTTCTGTCTACTTGCACCACATTTTCAAGCTATCTTCAGTGCCAGTAGTACAGATAGTCATGTGTCAAAAGGAGAAGATAACCACCAAATAAATGGCTTTTTCTGAACAGTCAATTATTATTTCTCAAATCTAAATTTGTTACTTAGAGACTTTTGATGCAGTAATGGCAAATTACCTGTATTTTGCTCAGTGTTATGAAATTATGAAGAAATTACATATATGGTGATCTCAGTTTCCCACTTCTTTCAACAGCATATATTCTAGTTTATTACAAAAGACAGCTCTAAAGTAAAGTTTTAATAATTCATATTGTGCAAGAGGAAGATTATGAATTTTTTGCAGCAGATAGATTCCACATGGCTGGTATCCTTGTTTTCTCCCATTTCTGGGCATCAACAGAATTAAAAAAAAAAAACAATGACCACAGAAATTCAGACTGATAACCCCTCCTACTCCCAAATTAATAATTTTCTGGAGTGCATAGGGATCAGTCTCCTCTGAATGAAACTTCTTCAAAACCATCACCAGTGACACCTTTTTCTATTTCTTCATTGAATGTTTTTTTTCCTTTCCCCCTCCAAATCAAAGTTTATTACTTTCAACATGTACACTATAACTGGTACCATAAAGGTTACAGTCAGGTTTCATTCCAGTTTTCATTTTCATTTGCTCATGAATTCCTAAACGCCTTCCACCTGAGATGAGACAGTCCATGCTTGATCTCTGCCTTTGACTTCACCTACTGTGAAAACAAAACAGCGTCAAAGAAGCTTAACTTGAATGTCTGGAACTTAAAAGAAAAAAATCAAACCTCATTGTTTCCCAAGGTTGCAATACTTAATCCTACAATACATAAACATGATTGCTCTTCCAGTGCAATACGCATGGGAAAAAAAAAAAAAGATTGTGTGCTCTTTATCAGATTTGAACCTTATCTCTAAACAATTTGATGGAACATTTTG